GGAGGAAGACAGGGGAAAAGAGGACGATACGGGGTGGAGAACAAGGGGGGAGGACCAACAGCAGGAAGGAGCAGCGGAGGTGGGGGCGGAGATGGAGGGGGAACGACGAGGAGAAGAAGAAGAGGAGGAGGAGGAGGAGGAGGAGGAGGAAGAGGGGGAGGTGGAGGCGAAGGAGTGGGGGGGAGGCGGAGGTAGGAGGAGGAGGAGGAGGAGGAGGAGGAGGAGGAGCAGCAGGAGGAGGAGGAGGAGGAGCAGCAGGAGGAGGAGGAGGAGAATGAGGAGGAGGAGGCGGAGGTCTTGAAGGAGTGTGAGTGCGGAGAGTTGCAGCAGCAGCAGCAGAACGACGAGTCGCGTCGCATCCTCGCCGCGCGCGCCGTACGCAGGACGTTGAGAGCGTGTCCACGTTCTGGGCCTGGCTGGAGAGAGAACTGATACCCCGGGCATTCACCACCTACGAGGCGGGATTGGGTGAGGATGGGGAGGAGGAGGAGGAGGACGACGAAGAGGAGGAGGAGGTGGAGAAGGAGGAGGAGGAGGAGGAGGAGGATCAGGAGTAGGAGCTACCAGTCGCATTAGGCAGAGGTCCGCAGCCAGACGCCCCCTCTTCCCCCCTCTTTCGCCCAGTGTGTCAACACGTCGAGTAAGAAAACGCTCACTAGCCGCGATGCCCTTGCCGGCCGCTTCAGATTAATTGTTTTTCCGGGCGCTCAGCCCCGCCCCGCTTAGTCCCCTCGCGTGGAAGCTCTTGCGGGCACCATCACCGTCACCGTCACCATGGTGACCTCCGCGTCAAATAGGTCGACGATCTTGCTTCGAAAACCATGGTGACACCACTGTTCAAGCAGTGGCGAAGCGTCCTGGCTCGCTTATAGGCCCACCAAAGAATGTTCTAAGAACCTTTTGTGGTCTGCACGAAATGTTAGAACATTTCTGGCTGAGACTGTTTTGTTTTACCACATCGGGCTTATATTCTAAGAACATCGTTTTGGTTTTTAGAACATTTTTGGGTTATAGGCACATTTCGGGGTAGGACTATGAGAATGCCGAGACGGCCGTCCATGCTCAAACAGTGTCTCCGCCCAGCGGTGCCCGAGAATTCGCCTCCACGGACGCTCTTTGGACGCTCTTAGGGCCATCTTAGAGCCCTTCCGGCGTCCGCTTGGGGCTCTCCTGGACGATATTTTAATGGCCTCCAGCCAGTGCCGCCGATCCGGGGGGCTCTGGATTCGGTGATCTTCGCGATTCTGTGGCCTCCTCCCCCCTCGATTCTCCCGGTTCTCTTTCTTCTCCTTTAGGGGGGTGCCTGGAGCGGTCCCGGGGGGGGCCCAGGGAGGGTTCCGAGGTGAAGATCCTGGGGGCGGTAGCGGCTAGATCTGAGGGGGGTCCCTGGGACCCCCCAAAACATCTTGGGGATGCGCAAAGCATTAAGAAAGCGCCAGATGGGGGACCGCCCCCCCCCACCCTCTCGCCCTTTCCCCAGGAGGGGTCCGGACGCGCAAATCATGAAGAAAACGCCAGATGGAGGACCGCCCCCTCCGCTTCCCCCCTTCCCCGGCAGAGCCACCCCGGCGAGCCTCCCCCCGAGCAGAGCTGAAGCCCTTGCTCAGGTTCAGAGCTGCAGCTCTTGCTGAGGCTCCTTGTAGCTCACACGCCGGATCGGCGGGTTTGGAGCGTTCTCCCCCCCCTACACTCCGACTCCCTCCGTCGTCTCACTCCCCACCCCACCCCCTCGTCGGGGTCGTCGCTGTTCTCATCCCCCCCCCGTTCGCCCTCATGGTCCTCGCCGCAACCCAGGGGTCTCTCGAACGATCCCAGGGCCCCTCAAACGGGGCGTTCCAAAAAGCGCCCTGCCTGCGAGGGTCGAAAGAATGCCATCTCTTCCGCGGCGGAAGGCAGCCGAAGGTCGGCGGAGGGCGGCGGGGAGTAAAACGGCAGCGGCCCCGCTAGCGGAAGCTGGCGGGAGTAAAAGTCGACCTCCCAAGAGATGACAACATTTTTGGATTCAGGGTTTCCCGAATCGGCCATTCGAGCCATGTTGAGGCCCCTGGACCCTGGAGCCCGTCGGGAACGAAACAGCGAGAAAGCAAGCAGACCTGGAAGTCGTACGCTTTGCTTGGGGGAGCTCGAGGTTGCCATTTGGAGCCATCTTGGGCCTCTTGGAGACGTGCGTGAGGCCATATTGAGCAAGACTGGTCTGTAGTGTACCATGTCGGAGGTCATCTCTGGCCATCTGGCGCCACCTCGGAGCCACCTTGCGCCTTCCAGCGCGTCGCGAAGCGGGCGGGTCCACGGGTAAGCATTATCCCTCGGGTCACGCATCAGACTCCGCACCGCGAGGGCATGGATGTGGACGTGCTCATCGCTTGCATCGGGTGAGCATATCCCTCGGGTCACGAACCAGACTCCACACCGCGAGGGCATGGATGTGGACGTGCTCATCGCTTGCATCCGGGGCCTCCACCTGGTATCGCTCGGACGTGTGCATTTTTTCCCCGGCGAGGACCATCGAGGAGCATCCTTGATCATTTGGCGAGAAAACCACGCACGAAACCGAAAAAAGCACAGGGAATGGACGTCCGAGCGATGGCGAGTCCACGACGCCCGGGCCGCGCGCGTGCGGCGCGCACGGCGCTCGGCGGCCGTGCGCGCGTGTTCGCGGCTCGGCCCAGGCATCGTTGTTGCCAGGGGCCGTGAACCCCACAAGGTCTGGGCCCGTCGCCTGAAGCACTGAAGCTGCGTGCCATTGACCGATTCGTTGATTGAGTGATTGCTTGAGTCTGCCAAATTGCGAGAGAGAGAGAGAGAGAAAAAGAAAGAAAGAAAGAAAGAAAGAGATAATTAGAGAGAGAGAGAGAGTGAGGGGGAACACACAGGGATAGAGGGAAAGCGCGAGAGAGTGCGAAAGAGAGCAGCATTATGTGTGCCTGCAGGCACGGAGTGCAAGTACTTTGGGTCCGTAGCCGCCCTGGACCAACCTTACAGAGTCGCGGGTGCAGCCCGAGATGGCCCCAAGTGGGTCCCGAGAGGCCCGCCGAGGGCGCACCGAGCCAGGGCCCCAAATGTGCACAGGACGGTCTGTGCCTCTCTTGAGGCCTCTTTGGGGGGTGCTCCGTGGCCAAGCGTGGACGCAGCTCGGACAGCTGACCAAGAGAGATCCCGGGAGGGGTCGGAGAACCTGTGATGAGCGGATGTTCGCAGGGGGCGGAGCAAGGGTCACAATTCGGAGCCGGTTGGGGTGTTGAGTTGGCCCCGCATTGGTTCTTGCTAGCAGAACGAGAAGAGGGTCGCCACGGTTGGACGCAGTTTGCACACATTGGTCCGTTTTGATTCGTGAGAGGTCTGATGACCGGAGTTGCCTCGCCCCCTTTCTTCACAGATTTTCTCGGTGCAGACCCTCTCTTTTTAGGCATCTACCAAACGGGCAGGACCCATGTAAGGCGACCTCCCCCCCGTATTCTTAAAATTGATTCCCCTCGCCCCCACCCAATCGCGCGCGCTGCCAAGCTAGGAATGAAAACCCCTAACCAATACATGACGCGTATCCCAACAAGCCCATCCAGAAACGATGGCAAGGCGAGTTTCATTAAGTCAAAAGTGCAGGAGCAAGCAGAGCAGCAAAGATGGCTGGCAGCCGTCAGACCGAAGCTCTGGATCAGCCTTTGCAGGCCCATGAGTCAACCACAAGTGCCTGTTCTAATCCGTTGTTGTGGGGGCGTCTTGGCAGCTTACTTGAGCCATGTTGGGGCTTTCTTGTGGCCCATTTGGGGGTCTCGTGGAGTCAAGGCCACACTGGAGGCCATCGGTGAAGGAAGGGGGATCCCCTATCAACCCCGCCCCCTCTTGGAACCCGCAACATCTCCCACTGTGCCATCGTAGGGGCTCTCTTTGAGCGTTCTTGGGCACTCCTATTGCCGTCTTGGGGTCATCCTGGGGCATGCGAGAAGGCCACAGTCATGTATGTTGCTCAGGCTTGGGGCAGATTTGGGCCTCTTGGGGGCCGCCTCGAGAGGCTCCGTGGGCACGCCGTGTTTGGGCGGTCCTTGGGCTCAGCGGAGGCATATTGGGGGGCCATCCTGAACAAGTTGGGAGGTCACCGTGAGCTATCTGGAGCGCTATTGGAGCCATGCTCGCCCAAAAGCGTCCCCAAGATTCCCCCGAGATGCCAACATCCATGACTAAACACCATCTGGTTTCTCAATGGCTTTGGCTCTGAGCGAATGGGGGGAGGGGGGCGAAATTAGCGTCGCCCCTCCTGAGTCCGAACCGTGGCTTCTTGTGGCGGTCTTGGGCGCTCTTGGATCCGTCGTGGGACGCTCGTGGGCCTCTCTTGGGGCTCTGGTCGGTCATCGTGAAGCCACCTGGAGGCCTCAGATGTCCGTCAAACGCGAAACAGTGCGTGACGGCCAAGGCCTGGTGATCGTCTGTTCATTCATTGTTTTGCCGATCGGCGCGGGCCCTCGTACCCTTCCCCCCTCCCCCCCTAATGGAGTAGATCTTGGGCGGCTGTTTTTTGGCGCCTGTTTCGAGCAGGTGAAGTCCCTCCCCCATGGGACGCACTGTCGCAAACAGTCGCAGTAAGCGGAGGTCGGGAGCCAGACCACCCCCCCTCCCCCCCTTTCCGTCCAATGCCGAAACGCCGAATACCAAAACGCCCACCACTAGGTTGCGTAAGGTGTTGGAGGAGTCATGTCGGGCGTAGCCCGAAATTGTTTCTCGCGAGGTCAACTGAACTGAACTGAACTGAACAGACCTGTCACACCCGTTACGCGACGATTTTATTCTCGGCCGCCGAGGGCGCAACCTATGGCGCAACCGATAGGAGACGGTTTTATTCTCAGCCGCCGAGGGCGCAACCTATGGCGCAACCGATAGGAGACGGTTTTATTTTCAGCCGCCGAGGGCGCAAGCTATGGCGCAACTCTGCCGCCGAGGGCGCAACGCATGGCGCAACCGATAGGAGACGGCTTTATTCTCGGCCGCCGTTCCGGAGGCATTTTGGCTCAAGCTGCCTCGCCCGCGCGCTCACGCGCGGAACCCGTGCGATGATGGCTGGCTATGGGGGGCCGCCCGTCTTCGTGGAGGCCCGCTTCGACGCGCGCGTCGGACGCCGCTGCGTTCGGCGCACCTGCGGCGAGGCGCCTCGCCCGCCACAGGCGCCGCGATGCCTGTGAGGCTTGGCTGCGGTCGCGCGCGGGGGCCGCCGCGCCTGGCTCCCGGCGGGACAGGGAGCAGGCCGCGCGGCCCGCGCTGGTCGCAGCCGTCGCCCAGCGGCGCGTCCCCGGCACAGCGCGCCGGCGGCGCGACGCTGCTCTCCGCGCGCGGCGCGGGGGCGCCTCGGGAAAGCAGGGCCGCGGGCCCGATGCCGCTGTCCCGAGGCCGCCGCCGCCGCCGCTGCATTCGGTTGCTCTGTCGCCCGTTCCTGAGCAGGGGGCGCCTTGGATCTGCACTCGCGGCGCCGCGGTCTTCCCGCCCCCCGGTGCGGTGGAGGTCGTGGCGGGCTTCCTGCAGCCCCAGGCCGCGGAGTCCCAGAAGTTCCCGCCCGAGGAGTCGCCGCGCGCGCTCCTGACCCCGTCTCCGCCCTCTCCGCCGCTGTCGCCTTCGTTGGCGTGTGGTGGGGAGGTCCTGGAGTGCGAGGTGGAAGAGGACATCCCTGGCCCGTCGCCTGCCTCCACCCTGGACCAGCGGTTCTGCGAGATGGGGGGCAGGCGCGGAAGAGGCGTTGGCGGGCTTCGACGACGAGCAGCGGCGCATCTGGCAAGACGGAGTCGACGGCCTTGCACGTGGCCCGCCCGAGGCCACCCTCGCCGTTCTCCCTGGCGATGCTCTCCTTTGCGTGCTGGTGCGGCTCTTGGTGCGCGAGGAGGGCATGACCCTCGACGGCGCCCTGAGCCTCGTACACGACGCTTTCGGAGTCATCGAGCGCAGGCATCATGTTCTCAGCCTGATCGTTGGGATGAATCGCAGCTATACTAACCGCATGAGTGGCGGCAGTGAGTTCTCTGTACCAGCAGGTTCCAGGCGGGATTGAGTTTTGTCGCCAGCATCTTAGATGTGCCGCTCATTTTCTCTACTGGCTTCGTCGCTTGTGCAGTGCCATTGTCAAACCATGCCATATTGTGCTGGACGTGCTCCTTCGCAATACTGCGCTGCCGCCTCGGCTCATATCGTCGGCGCCCATACGTTGGCGTAGGGGCTTGGGAACGTTCCCCATTGATCGGCCCGCGCAGTACCTCACCTTGTCTTGGCTGCCTGCGCGGGCGCCTGCGCTCTCTGCCTCTCGCCCGGCGCACGGGCGCCTGGGGAGCCTGCGCGTCACGCTGCTGGAGGAGAGGAAACTCTCGGCCGCCGAGGGCGCAACCGATGGCGCAACCGATCGGGCACGGTTTGATTCTCGGCCGCCGAGAACACAACCTGCGGCGCAACCGATAGGAGGCGACTTCATAAAATCGCTTCGCTCACACCGCCAGCCCATTTCGCATCACTGCGGCTGCGTGGTGGCGCGCTCGTGCCCAGGGGAGGGCAGTGCGACCTTCGAGGAGATCTGCCCCAGAGGGCGCTAAGATGGCTCAAGAGAGCTCTAGAAGAGTTTCGAGACGTCGCTGCGTTGTGTGTCAAAGTCCTCATGGATGCTTCCTGGGGTCTCTTCGGAGGGAGCCTCTGGGGAGAGCCTCTTGGGGGCGTATTGGGGGGCCTCTTGGGGCTTCCTGGGGGCCTGTTGGGAGTCTTGGGGGCCTCTTTGGGGGCCTGTCGGGGGCCTCTTGGAGCCCCTTTAGGGAACTTGTGAGGGCTTCTTCGGGCCTCCAGGACGCCTCTTGGGGCCGAGGGCTCGAAATGTTTGTTCGGGTGTCCCGTATGGCCCCCGCTCGGGGCCGTCCTGGGGGAATCTTGGACCGTCCTGGAGGCCTCTTAGGCCGTCATGGGGCCCTCGTGGGGGCTCTCTCGGAGGCCTCTTGGGGCGATTTGTGGGGCCGATGGTTTCTGCCTCCTGGATCCCTCTTGAGACGCTTCTTCGAGGCCTGTTTGGGCGTCTTGGGGGCCTCTTCGGGCCGAGGGTTCGAAATGTCCGTTCGGGTTCCCCGTCTGGGCCCCTCTTGAGGCCGTCCTGGGGATGTCTTGGGCCGTCTTTGAGGCCTCTAGGGCCGTTTTGGGGCCCTCTTGGGGCTCTCTTGCAGGTCTCTTGGGCCGTCTTGGGGCGATATGTGGGGCCTTTTGGGACGTCCTTGAGCGCCAGGAAGCCGAACAAATGAGAAGAGCACCATCATTCAAAAGCCGGAGGGAAATCTATGGTTTTTGCCTCCTGGATCCTCTTGAGACGCTTCTTCGAGACCTCTTCAGGCGTCTTGGCAGCGTCTGCGGCCGTCTGGAGGCTATCTTGGGCGTCTTGGACCGATCGGTCGGCGACCCGGAGCCGTCTTAGACCGTCTGGGGGACATTTGGGGCCCTCTAGGAGCGCTCGGGGGCGCTTAAAGCCGCGCCAAGCAAAACCCGTCTCTGGGTAGTACGGGCCGGGGTCCTCTTCGTCCAGGGACCCCCAGGGGCCGCCCCGCGCGCGCGAACTAGAAATATTGTTCACCAGCAGCCGGAGATCTTAGCACGCCTCTGGCCCGCTGGGCCGGCGAATTCTTGACCGCGGAAGTGCCAGGAAAAGGAGGATGAGCAAGAGGAGGAAGATGAGAAACGAGGACGAGGTCCTAGACGAGGACGACGAGGAGTTGGAGCAGGAGGAAGACGAGGAAGACGAGGAGGATGAGGAGGACGAGGAGGAGGACGACGACGACGGTCAGGACGGGGAGGAGGACGGGGAGGAATGAGAGTAGTACGAGGACGAAGTGTGAGCATTCAAATGCGTGCGGGGCTACGCCCGATTCGTGCTCGCCGTTTGGGCTGGCGGCGGGGCCCAAGCGGCGAGCTGCCTTGTGATTGGAAGGGTTCGAGGCCATTTGAGGCAGCCTTGGCACGGCGTTGGGACAGCATGTTGGAAGCTAGATTAAGCGATCGTGCACTATCGTATTTCATCTTAGGCGCAATACTGTGCCATCTTAGGCCGCATTGCGCGCTCTGACCTGTCGCCATGCGCCCCGTGCAGACCCCGGCCGGGTGGGGAGGGGGAGGGGTACACCCCAGCCCGAAGGGGGAGAAGGGTCGGAAAGAGAACCGCGCTAGACCGCTTCCACCCAGATGGGGTGGTCTGTTTTACTTGCCTGGCAAGACTTCTTGCGCATGCACAGCTCCCTCTTTGTCTATTGAACTTTGGCACTGCAGTCGCCTCATCTGTCCTCTCGATCTGCCTCGAGCTCGCGTGGCGCGAGGTGGCGACGCCGATAGTGGCAAGTATCATGACCACCTTCAGCGACAACGACTTCCCGCTGACCTTCCATCCCCGCTTCGTGGGTGCACAGGATGGTCATTTTGCGCACGCGAGTTGATTGCGCACTGTTCGCCTGAACCCTCAAAGCTGGTCATATGCTTATCTTCGAGCAACTAATGATCCAGAGTTCGCAGCTGACACACCATAGTGTTCGAAGGAGGGGCACGAGCAGTGGCGCTCTGCACAAGAAGAGGAGAGACCCGAAGCGGAGGAGGAGGAAGAGGAAGACACACACACAGGGAGGTTAACCATTGAGCAGGCGGGAGTTGTATCCCCGCACCGCCACAATGAGGGTTGCATCGCCGTCTCGATGCAAATCCAGTTCTGCATTACGCAGTCCAGCCTTCAGCTTTCTTGTTGCGTTGTCAATGGTGTTTCGTGCGACGGCGCCCCGAACTCTGCAAGCTACTGTTTACCACTGCTCAAAGAAGAATATCTGCATGAGCAACATTTCGGAGTTTCGCGCAGATTCTTGGATGCGCTGGGTCTCCCGATGGCGCGCTCCGCGCGGCAGGGAGGGGTGGGGCAGTGCGCCTCCAGGGAATCCGCGCAGACCCTGAGAAATTATTGGAGGTGAGGGGGCAAGATCAAAGTGGAACCGAGAGCCCCCCTACCGGGAAATCGATTTCGGTTTCGTGTTCGTGCGTGCCGTGCGTGCGGGCGAGGCGAAGCTGCGTGGGCGGACGAGAAGAAAGTCTCTGTGGCTGAAGCGCGGCCGGACCAAATGACTCCCTTCCGGCAACCGGTGGCCCGCGGTGTCCCGCCGGTGTCCCGCTGTGGCTGAGGCGCGGCCGGACCAAATGACTCCCTTCTGGCGACCGTTGCCCCGCGGTGTCCCGCCAGTGTCCCGCCGGTGTCCCGTCGGTGTCCCGATGATGATGATGATGATGATGATGATGATGATGATGATGATGATGATGATGATGATGATGATGATGATGTCGATGATGTCGATGATGTTGATGATGATGATGATGATGATGGTGGTGGTGATGGTGGTGATGATGATGGTGTCCCGATGATGATGATGTTGATGCTGATGATGGTGGTGATGGTGGTGATGATGATGGTGTCCCGATGATGATATTGGTGATGATGTTGTTGATGATGATCATGATGATGATGGTGTCCCGATGATGATGATGATGATGATGATGATGATGATGATGATGTTGATGATGATCCTGATGACGTTGATCATGATGAGATGATGATGCTGATGAAGATGATGGTGATGATGATGATGATGATGATGGTGTCCCGATGATGGTCATGATGAGGTTGACGATGATGCTGTTGATGATGATGGTTATGATGATGATGGTGTTCCGATGATGATGATAATGATCTTATTGATGATGATGATGATGATGATGATGAGATGATGATGATGATGATTTTGATCATGGTGACCCGATGATGGTGATGATGATGATGTTGATGATGATGGTGTCCCGATCATGATGATGATGATCATTTTGATGATGTTGATGATGAGGATGATGACGATGCTGGTGTCCCGATGATGATGATGATGATGATGATGATGATGTTGATGATGAGGATGATTTGAGGTGATTATGATGTTGATAATGGAGGCCCGATGGTGGTGATGATGATGATGCTGATGTTGCTGATGATCATGCTGTTCCGATGATGATGGTGGTGATGATGATGGTGACGTTGGTGACAGTGTCCCGATGATGATGATGATGCTGATGATGATGATGATGATGATGATCATGGTGTTGATGATGATGATGATGATGTTGCTGATGATGCTGATGGTGTCCCGATGATGATGATGCTGATGATGCTGTTCATGATGATGATGAGATGATGATGATGGTGATGATGATGATGATGATGATGATGATGATGATGATGCTGCTGATGATGCTGATGATGCTGATGATGAGGATGATGATGATGATGATGATGATGGTGTCCCGGTGATGCTGTTGATGATGATGATGGTGACGATGATGGTGCCCCGATGATGATGATGGTGATGATGACGATGTTGATCATGATGGTGATGAGGTGATGATGTTGTCCCGATGATGATGATGATGATGATGATGATGATGATGACGACGATAATGAGATGACGATGATGATGATAATGATGATGATGATGATGATGATGATGATGATGATGATGATGATGATGATGATGTTGATGACGTTGATGACGATTCTGTTGCTGATGATGATGATGGTGATGATGATGATGACGATGATGATGACGCTGATTGTGAGATCGATTGTGATATCGATTGTGAGATCGATAGTGAGATCGATTGTGAGATCGATAGTCAGATCGATGGTGATATCGATCGAATGACATAGGTCGAATTAGATCGATTGTGATATCGATCGAGTGAGATCGATCGAGCGAGACCGATAGTGAGATCGATAGTGAGATCGACCGATCGAGTGAGACGTTGTTTCCTCCCCCCCCGAACCTCCTTCACCCGAAGTGTGGTCGTATAGGAATGTATTGGTTATGCAGTCAGCGCCGCGCGTCCTCCTCATCCTCCTTGCTCCTCCTCTTCTCCCTCCTCCTCCCTCCATCCTCCCATCCCTGCCCTTGCCCCCTGCATGCCCCGTTCGGTACACTCCTAACACGTGTCGTGTCCCCCTGGGGAGTTCCACCGAAGGCCCCAGGGGCAAAGTTCACATGTGGGCGTCACGCCCCTTTCGGCACACCCCTCAGACGTTTCGTGGCCCCAGAGGGAGCTCCACCGAAGGCCCCAGTGGCACCGCTCGCATGTGGGCGTCACGCCCGTGTCAGTAGACCCTTCACACGGTTCGTGGTCCCGCAGGGAGCCCCACAGAAGGCCTCAGAGGCGCCGTTCGCATGTGGGCGTCGGCACACCCTTCGTACGCTTCGTGGCCCCTTCGGGAGCTCCACCGAAGGCCTCAGAGGCAGCATTCGCATGTGAGCACCACGCCCGTTTCGGCACACCCCTCGTTCGTTCCGTGGCCCCACGGTGGGCGTCACCCCCCTTGCGGCACACCCATCACACCTGTCGTTGTTTCAAAGGAGGCCTCACCGAAGGCCCCGGTGGCATTGCTCGCAGGTGGGTGTCACACCCGTTTCGGCACACACGTTTCGTGGCCCCACAAGGAGCTCCACCGAAGGCCCCGGGGGCACGGCTTGCATGTGGGCGTGACGCCCGTTTCGGCACACCTTTCACACGTGTCGTGGCCCCATTCGTGACACCGTTAGCACGTTGGCGCCGCATGCCTTTCGGCACACCCCTCTGACGTCTCGTGGGCCCCACAGGGAGCTCCACCCACGGCCCCAGTGGCAGGGGCTGCATGCGCAACGCCCAGGCATGGGGAGGGTCAGGGGCACGCCAGGGGGAGCGCAAAGGCGGGCATGGGGCGGGGGGGGGGGGGGCGCACACCAGCTGCCAGGAAGGGCAGAAGCGGCGGGTGGGCAATCAGGGTGGGGCCCCCTGCATCTCATGAGAGTCAAAAGTACCACTACCGCCAGCTAGGGGGGTGGCTGTTCCACCCTCTGGAGCTGGTGACACCTCCTTCCAGGCATGCCTCCAGAGAGAGCGCCCGGAAGGAGGTGCCGCCAGCTCGATGGGGAGGGAGCGGCCACCCTCCTAGCTGGCGGTAGTGCTACCTTTGTCTCTCCTGACATCTGCGCTCGCCTTCCGGAGTCCTCGCATGCCTCGAAGGAGGTGCCACCAGCACGATGGGGAGGGAGCGGCCACCCTCCGAGCTGGTGGTAGGGGTACCCTTGTCTCTCCTGAGCATCTGCGCTCGCCTCCTGGAGTCCTCGCATGCCTCTGGTTGCCCTTTCCGCACGCGCCCCCGCCGAGCGCCCCGCGGTCGCCCCAGCAGCACCCGTGCCGCCCCTGCGCCACGGGGGGGGGGCTCCCCGGGAGACGCCTCCGCTGGACGGGCTGGGCGCTCGACAGCAGGAGGTCCATACAGTTCAGTCGGGCCTGTCCCTCTACAGCTGTGGGGGACGATCAATGGAGGGGAAGCATGCTGCCAAATAATTTCCAGATGTCTAAAACATGTAGCAAACATGTTTTAAATATGTTACAGACATGTTTAAAACATGTTCAGAACATGTGTTATACATGTTAAGCACATCTTTAATTCAATGATAGGACTGTTAGGGTGTCCATTGTCGTGGCATCCACAACTCTACAGGAGGAATCTTCAGAAATAGTCAGAAAAGAGTCTGGGGACGATTTTGTTACTATGTTTGAATTGTTTCGGCCATTGTTTTACTTCTCGTCCAGAACCCGCCTCTAGGAGGACATGCCCGACCTGACCATACAGTCGAGACGCTGGAGTACGGACCAGTCTGGGCTCGGGAGAAGCTCTGGCTTTCGATGCGCTCCTTAGCTCTAGGTCGGGGAGCCCCATTCCTAGCCAGCGCCCCTTGCGTGTCGTTCCTCGTTCAGCGGCGGAAGAGGCGGAAGAATTCTCACCTCAAGGTGCTGGCGCGGCCGGCCCCGCGCGAACCGTACAGTCCACCCGTATCATGAGGATACAGGGGCCTTGGAGGGTCGAGGAGGAGGAGGAGGAGGAGGAGGAGGGGGAGGAGGAGGAGGGGGAGGGGGAGGAGGAGGAGGAGGAGGAGGAGGAGGAGGAGGAGGAGGAGGAGGAGGAGGAGGAGGAGGAGGAGGAGATGGCTGTACACGGGGAGGGGTCGAGGATTGCAGGAGCGCGGCCCTCGGGGGGCCCTGCCGGCCGCCACGCCGACACCGCGCGCCAGGAAGGCGCTGAAGAGGCGCCCGCTTCTGCACCCCCCCGTACTCCAGATTTCGTAATAAAGGGAGGGGGGTCTCATTTCGGGGGGGGTCTCTTCCAGGCTATCTTGGAGGGCCTGGGGGGGTCTGTGGACGATGTTTTGGAGGGTTCTCCCACGGGGGAGGTCTGAAATGGCTTGTCTTGGAGGGTCCAGACCCCCTCCCTTTTATTACGAAATCTGGAGTATTTACACCCAAGTCGGGCCTGGGGAGGAATATCCAAAAATAGTCCCCATCGTCTGGAGAGGATTGCTCTACCACTGTTGGCTTGTTTTGCGTATTTTTTAGGGTATCCTAATTTTTCGTCCAAAATCCGCCTTTAGGAGGACATGCCCAACCTAAGTTTACACCCTCCCCAGACCCCCGACGTCATGATTTTTTCATGACGCGACCCCCAGAGGTCCGGATCCATTCCCCGGGACCCCCTTTTCATCCTGAGACGTTTTTTGACGGGCCTGAGGGCCGGTAAGGGCCCCTGGAGGCCGAAAATAGCGAAAAACCTCGCGTCGTGATTTTTTCATGACTCGATGGGGTCTGGGTCTGCTCGGACCCCACATGTGGCGCTTACGATCGCCCGAGTGGAGGGGATGGTTGGGCGTTCGTGTGCTCTGAGTCATCGGGGCAGATCTGCGAGGCCCCATGCGGGGGTCGAGTGGGGGATTCCACGGGGGGGGAGAACATTTAGTGGCGTCGGGGATGTGGTATATTGGTCGCCACGCCCCAAGACGCGTTCCAAACCCGTCTTAAGGAGGACATGCCCAACCTAAGTCTACACCCTCCCCGCTTACGATCGCCCGAGTGGAGGGGGATGGTTGGGCGCTCATGTGCTCTGAGTTCTCGGGGCAGATCTGCGAGGCCCCCATGCGGGGGTCGAGTGGGGGATTCCACGGCGGGGAGAGCATTTACAGTCGGGGCCCTGAAGAAGGAACCCTTTTCGTTGGGGAGGGGCTCCGCGTTCCTTAATTGTTTCACAGCTCGCCTCATGTTTTCCTTATGTTTCCGACAGGGAATCGAAGGTTAACTTATGGTTAAAAGGGGCCTCGTTCCTTACTCAGGGTTCCTTAGGTCAAGGCCCCGACTGTAGTGGCATCGGGGATGTAGTATACTGGTCGCCACGCCCCTACAAGACGCGTCCTTCGAGATTCTGGACGCGATTGTGGAGGGAGGAACGCGGGATTCGGAAGCAACTCCTGGGAGGTCAAATTCTGTTTTCGCCCTGGTCCGAAATTTGGTTACATCCCGCCTACTCCCGCTTAATCCCGCTCAATCCCGCTTAATCCAGCTTAATCCCGCTTAATTCAGCTTAATCCGAGGCCCCTTCCGGCGTAACAGCTCCCCAATGGGCCTTAATTCTTTTTTAATTTTTCCGACGAACGCATCCCAGTAGTTGCCTCCTAAATGGGAGGATCCATCCAAAGCCGCCTCGATTCAAGCGACGGCCGGCTAAGTTTTAAGCATGGAGCTCGCAGAGCATCGTCAGGCTGCCCCACGGACCATGGCCAACGTGAGTTCCGTGCAGGTTTCCGGCCTCTTGTCGCCTGGGTTGGCGCACGTCCGGGGTCAGCAGGACGTTCCCCTGCTCACCGACACCATATATCTCGGGGGTGGACAGAACCCCTCCTCCTCCTCCTCCTCCTCCTCCTCCTCCTCCTGGGTCGATTAGTGAATTTTCCGTTTTCGGTCCTCGACAGGGCGCCGCAGACGTCATTTTTCCAGGTTGGCGCCCGCCAGGTTTGGGCCCGAGGCCGTTTTCACCAAACTACGCTTTCGTAAAGGAGGCTTTGTCCATCCCCGAACGTCGCGCCTTCCGCCGTCAGGCAGAGCGGCAGGCGGATCGCACGGCTCTGACCCTTCACGGTCACCAGAGCTTCTCTTTCGCGGAATTTCTGCACAGAGTTGACAAGGTCTCCAGTGGGCTGGCAGATTTGGGGTTCGCCCACGGCGACCGGCTGGGTGTTTGGATGCCCAATCGCGGGGAGTGGTTGGAGCTCCAACTTGCCACTGCCAAGCTCGGCGTCATCCTCGTCAACGTCAATCCAGACTACAGGCTGCCCGAACTCGAGTACGCCTTGAACTTGGTGGCTTGCAAGGGGCTCGTGATGGTTCCCAGGCTCTCTTCAGACTGCCTGGGGATGATGCAGGACCTCTGCCCAGAGCTTGCCAGTACCCGAGGCGAGCTTCACAGCGCCCGCTTACCATCTCTGCGCCGCGTCGTCGTGGCCGGTGGTGTTGCCGGCGCTGGCATGCTCGAGTACGAGAGCCTCTACAGGGCCAAGCCTGCCTTAGAGGCTAGAACGACATGTGATGACGCCATCAATCAGGCCAGCCACAACTGGGGGAGCTGTGGTCCTTACCCCCCTGGGGGACCCATCGATTTCGACACCCCTCTCGAGAGATCGTCGATGCGATGGGTTCCCCCAGGAGGGTAAGGACCACAGCTCCCCCAGTTATGGCTGGTCGGTCAATATCCAGTTTACGTCTGGGACCACTGGAAACCCTAAGGCTTCGACGCTCACTCACAGGGGTATTCTTAACAACGCCTACTTCCTAGGTTCGGGGGTGGACAGAACCCCCAACAGTGACACGTCGATTAGTGAATTGTCCGTTTTCGGTTCTCGAGAGGGCGCCGTGGCCGTTATTTTCCAGGCCTGCGCCCGCCAGGTTTGGGCCTCAGGTCGTTTTCACTAAACCACGTTTTACTAAAGGGGGGTCTGTCCATCCCCGATAGGTCTGACTATGCGGTACACGGAGCAAGATGTGGTTTGCGTGCCGGTGCCTCTCTACCATTGTTTCGGTTGTGTCATGGGTAACCTCAGCATGGTGGTTTTCGGTTGCACTCTTGTCTATCCGTCGCCTCGTTTTGACCCGCTTCTGACGCTGCATGCCACCGTAGAACATCATTGCACGTCATTATATGGGGTGCCCACCATGTTCATCGCTATGTTGGACCATCCGGAGTTCTCCAAATTTAAGTTTGAGGTTCTTCGCACTGGAATTATGGCAGGAGCTCTGTGCCCAGTGGAAACGATGAGTCGAGTGATCAAAGACATGGGGGCGAATGAGGTGACAATTGCTTATGGCATGACCGAGACCTCCCCAGTTTCTTGGCAGACGCGGATTGGTACACCACTGGACTTGACATGCACAACAGTCGGCCAGATTTGTCCCCATACTGAATGCAAGGTCGTCGATCCTGAGGCATGGACGGTCCTTCCATGCGGCGAGCCTGGCGAGCTGTGGACGGCGGGTTATCTCGTCATGTCAGGCTATTGGGGTAACCCGAAGGCCACAGCTGAGTCCATCATCGAACAAGACGGCCACCGATGGATGCGCACTGGTGACCTCGCAGTGATTTCGGAGGCGGGCTTCTGCCAGATTGTCGGCCGCATTAAGGACATGATCCTGCGCGGTGGTGAGAACATCTTCCCAAAGGTCTAGGCCTCCCAAGTGTTGTCCGAGTAGATGGGGTCGAAGGATCGCTCCACATCACCGATGCATCGGCGATGTGGCTCGATGTGGAGCCCGATTTTCTCCACTCCGACGTCGCCGATGCATTGCCGATGTCGCATCGGCGATGCGGCACGATGTTTCGACCCCATCTACTCGGACCCCACTCCGGAGGCTTCCAAAAGGAGGTGGAGGTGCCGCTGATGTCACACCCTGACATCCTCCTCGCCGAGGTCATCGGCGTCCCGGACCACCGACTCGGAGAGCAGGTGTCAGGAGAGAGAAAAACACACAGGCACGATCCATCGTCGATCCCCCGGAAGGTATGGGAAAACAGAGGAAGTGTAGGGGGAAGTCGAAAGTCCAGGACATGTGAGAGAATACCAGGAATCCAGGTGTGTGTGTGTGTGTGTCTGTGTGTGTTGTGTGTGTGTGTGTCTGTGTGTGTGTGTGTCTGTGTGTGTGCGTCTCTGTGTGTGTGTCTGTGTGTGTGTGTCTGTGTGTCTGTGTGTCTGTGTGTCTGTGTGTGTGTCTGTGTCTGTGTCTGAGTCTGTGTCTGTGTCTGTGTGTGTGTGTCTGTGTCTGTGTCTGTGTCTGTGTCTGTGTCTGTGTCTGTGTCTGCGTCTGCGCGTGTGTGTGTGTGTGTGTGTGTGTTGACTTGCGTGCCCCAGGGCCCCTGCGAGGTGTGTGCCTGGGTGCGGTGGCGCGGCGGCGCTCCCCGGGGGGCCGAGGCGGCGGCGGCCGCGCAGCGCATCCGCGACTTCCTGAGGGAGAGGCGGGGCTCGCCTCGACCCCTCCGATTCGGTTCGATTCGATGTCGACTCCTCCTCCTCCTCCTCCTCCTCCTCCTCCTCCTCCTCCTCCTCCTCTCCCTCCTCCCCCTCCTCCTCCTCCTCCTCCTCCTCCTCCTCCCCCCTCCCTCCTCCTCCTCCTCCTCCTCCTCCTCCTCCTCCTCCTCCTCCTCCTCCTAAGTTGGGGCTCCGGCTCCCCTCAAGGGAGGCATGCTAGAGGCCGCCGATGTCCGCCGATCCGACTTCTCCGGACGTGGCTGCCGATTTCCGCCGATCCGATTCATTTCGAATAGCCGACCCGACTCATTTCGATCGCCGATTCATCTCGATCGCTTCGACTCCTCCGATTCGGTTCGATTCGATGTCGACGGCCGCCGAAACCGGTTCGAGTCAACTTCGGATTTCCGAAGTTCGGGCTCCGGTTCTCCCCTCGAGGGAGGCATGCTAGAGGCCGCCGATGTCCGCCGATCCGACTTCTCCGGACGTGGCTGCCGATTTCCGCCGATCCGATCGGGGGTGGACAGACCTCCTACCCTGACACGTCGATTAGTGAATTGTCCGTTTTCGGTTCTCGAGAGGGCGCCGCGGCCGTCGTTTGCCAGGCTTGCGCCCGCCAGGTTTTGGCCCGAGGTCGTTTTCACTAAACCACGTTTTACTAAAGGGAGGTCTGTCCATCCCCGATCCGATTCACTTCGATCGCCGATCCGACTTGTCGATTCGATTCTGGGCGCTCCTGGACAGGGTCGCGCACTTCAAGGTCCCGAAGTACATCCTCTTCAAGGACTCGAGGAGGAACAAATGCATCCTTAGAGTAGAGGCCCATGCCAAGAAACACCCTGCTTGCCTCCAGGGTGCCCTGGGCTTCTCGGGTTTTGACGGTTTTGCGATGGAAAGCGTGACGCTCCCGCGCCCCTACTATATCCTGGCGAGGGGCCCAACCATGTGCAGCTGTGAGTAGCACAGTTGTGAGCATCGTCCTCGGTGAAGCTCTCCCTGTGGGGCCACGAAGCGTGTGAGGGGTGTATCCAGATGGACATGCGGTCGGCGGGGAGCCGCATGCGAACCCTGCCATTGGGGCCGAAGGACTCGAAGAGGAAAAACACACCATACACGTGAACTTTCTGAGCTCCGCGCGGATCTCTTGGATCTGGGCCAGACCCCCCTGGTAGGGAGAGGGGTCCGGTGCGGATCCTGAAGTACATCTGTTGTAAGGATTTGGAGAAGAAAACATGACATACACATTTTTGTCGGAGCTCCGCGCAGATTTCTTGGATCTGCGCAGGAAAGCCCCTGGCGCCGCCTCTGGCGCGCTCCGTGCGCCAAGGGGGGGTTCAGCGCGGATCCCGAAGTGCATGCTCTTCAAAGGTTTGAAGAGGAAACACTCTGCATAGAGATTAATTTTCGGAGCTCCGTGCGGATTTCCTTGATCGGCGCTTGAGCCCCTTGGCGGCACCTCTGGCACTACCCCTGGCGCTCTTCGCGAGGGGGCTTCAGCGCAGATCCAAGACATCGGCGCGGACCTGCAACGGCTTATGTCTGTGCCGTTTTTCCTTCCTTCGAGGACGAGTTCCCCTTGACGGCCTCGAACAAGGTCCGGAAGGTCGAGGTGCGCGAGATCACCGCCGCGGAGTTGGGCTTGGTCCGGCCGCCCTCGAAGCTCTGAGCCCCGACCAGCGGCGGCGCGGTCCTCTGAGGACGAGTTCCCCCCGACGGCCTCGAACAAGGTCCGGAAGGCCGAGAGGCGCGAGATCACCGCCGCGGAGTTGGGCCTGGTCTGGTCGCCCTCGAAGCTCTGAGAGCTCCGACACAACGACTCGGCGAGGCATGCCCGGGCTATGCCCAGAGGTCCCGCTCAAATATCGGGGGCGGCAAAGACGGGGTTCACGACTTGGGGGGTGTGGACATCATGGCGGGGGCCATGATATCTCCCCAGATTTTATGGCGCCTCTTCTGACTTCAATACGTCCCAGGCCTCCCCCCTGGGCCTCGCACGTGCCGCCGGCTATGATTTGCGCCCCCCCTCGTGGCCGCCCCCGAAAATGCCTCCCGCGGGACGGCCACCCGGCGGCGGAGCCAGCGACGTGAGCACGGTGGAGACCCATGCCAAGAGGCACCTTGCTCGCCTGCAGGGTGCCCTGGGTTTCTCAGGCCGGGCGAAAGGGGGGATTGGGAAAGGGGGGGTTACGAAATTTTCTTCATGCAGCTGGTTTCGGCCTCACCGAGGGGCCCATTCCTCGATACATAGCCGCCTCCGCCGCCGGGAGGCGCCGGGAAAATCAGCTACGTGAGCTGATTCTCAAACCCCCCCTTTGCTATCCCCCCCTTTCGCCCGACCCGAGTTTCGGCGGTTTTGCGATGGAGGGCGCGGCGTGCCCACGCCTAAGGTCGATGGACATCCTGGGGTCTCAGGGTCGGGTTTCTTGTGGAAGGTCTCTTCTGGACTGGCCTCCACTGTAGGGGAACGGAGAATGGCGGAAACATAAAAGCTCGGAGGTCCGCGCGGAGTTCTCGGATCCGCGCTGGACCCCCCTCCCTGGCGCGCGGAGCGCGCCAGGGGCGCCGCCAGGGAGGTCCAGCGCGGATCCGAGAAATCCGCACGGACCCCCGAGTTTTTATGTTTATGTCATTCTTCGTTCCCCTAGTGAAGGAAGTGGAGTGCAATGGCGCCTCTCGCACCAGCTGCTGCTGTGGCACTGGTGACTGCCTCAGCTCGAACCAGAAAGAACGCCACAAATGACCACGCAAGAAACCACCGCAAGCTGAAGTTCTGGACGTCATTTAAATTATGTTTTTCTGTCTTTGGCGAGTGTTTCTGGTTTGACGCAACGATTTCTCGAAAGGTTGCAGCCTGGCCACTTGCGGCGCTTTTCCCGTGGAGATTCCCTTCAATGTGCTTTCGCGAGGCCGAGTGGGGATCGCGCGCGGCGGGGCCCGTTTGCCACAACCAATGCGCGCGCTGATCAGGGGAGGTCGTAGTAGTAGTAGTAGTAGTAGTAGTAGTAGTAGTAGTAGTAGTAGTAGTAGTAGTAGTAGTAGTAGTAGTAGTAGAAGTAGTAGTAGTAGTAGTAGTAGTAGTAGTAGTACTAGTAGTAGTACTAGTAGTAGTAGTAGTAGTAGTAGTAAGTAGTAGTAGTAGTAGTAGTAGTAGTAGTAGTAGTACTAGTACTAGTACTAGTACTAGTACTAGTACTAGTACTAGTAGTAGTAGTAGTAGTAGTAGCAGCAGCAGCAGCAGCAGCAGCAGTAGTAGTAGTAGTAGTAGTAGTCGTAGTAGTTGTAGTAGTAGTCGTAGTAGTAGTAGTAGTAGTAGTAGTAAAAACGTAGAGGAGGAGGAGGAGGAGGAGGAACTGGAGAAGAAGGAAGAAGAGAGAATAAGGATACATTGCTTCTTCCCAGCTTCAAAAATGCCCAGAAAACTATCTCGATCGCCCCAAACGGCAGAGGAATCGCCCAGAAGGGTGCCAACACACCCCAAGAGGGCGCCAGGACGGCACAGGAGGAACCCATGACGGCCCATGATGCCTTAAGACGGCCCCCCAATTGAGCCCTTACACCCCAAAGAGCACTACCGTGGGCCGAGGAACCCGAAGGCGGCCCCCCAAATGGCCTTACAGGGGCGGGCCTCCAAGAAGGCCCCAATACGGACGAAACGACCATGTTCCCGAAGGGCCTTCCGCGAACATCATTGTCGCCACCAGTCCGAAGAAGAGGAGGAGGAGGAGGACGAGGACCACGATACCCATGGCCAGGGGCAGGACAGGAAATCACGAGGTTCCCTTCATAGGGAACGATATCGCCGCTTTCCGATGTTTCTTGTACAACTTGCAATGGATAGGACGAGAAACCAAAGCTGAGGCGGCGGGCGCCGCTTCCATTCTCGCCACCAAGGTCAACAGCCCCCCCGGATAATGACGTCCTGAACGCTAGCAAAATAGTCGGCCACCTGAGGAGCACGGCCTCCCTTCCCGTTCTCATGTGGAGGTCCAGGCTAGACAATTTCATACTGGTCACAGTTAGTGACTGTTTGTTGTTTGGGGGCGCAACATCAAGAAATGGAGTATGCGGCGCCCTCGAGAGGCATGGCAAGTGTATGTCGCCGACAATTCTTTCGCTCACGGTTGCCGTGCTATTGTCGCGCTCATATTTTGGTGTGGCCTCCAATTTGTTTGGAGGGGATCTCGCTTTCCAATGCTCCAGGAGAGGCCGAATGGCTTCGGCATCCTCAAGGTGGGTGTTGTAAAGGGCAACGTCGTCCATGACAGGTGGAGGGAGAGTCCAGGTCCTTCTGTAGCACTCTTCAAAGAAAATTGCACAGTGCTAGGCCCAAACCCGAACAACAACAGCAAATTCAGTGTCGTGTGCACCGAAGGGAAGTACTATATCCTGGCGAAGCTAACCTCGGGAACCATATTCGACCGGAGAGTTGCCATAGATTTGACGGTGGCTATGGATCGGACCCGTTGCTGGACCAGATGGATTCCACGCCTTGTTCTCCTGGCCGTGTGTCTCACACAAGCGGATGTAACAAAATGGAACGCGGTTCCGCTTAATTTGTTGAGCCGGGGCATGCTAAAGCTCTCTTCCGAGGCCCAATTTCCTCGGGACCTGACGACGGCTTGCGCAACCCGCTATTCCACAGCATGTTCCTACACATCCTTGATCCTAGCACTTCGTTTGGGCACCGTTTCTGGATAGGCTGATGGAGTTAAGCTGACCGTCTAGAATATCCAGCTGCCCGCGGCAAGCCCCGCCGCCGCGCCTGTGCAACAGCGCAGCCTGAAGGAAGCTGAGTGTAGGAACGGCGCAATTCCGACGAATGGTCTGACAAGGACGGGTCGTGAACTCGAGCTCGTTTTCGCCCGCGCGGTAGGAAAGAGGTCGGGTTCACACCCCGCGGCAGTTCACCGAGTGGTCTGAACTGGGGAGGGTCGTGATCCCGACGTCGTCTTCGTCCGCGTGGTCGGGAGGAGGAGGAGGAGGAGGAGGAGGAGGAGGAGGAGGAAACAGGAGGAGGAGGGAGGAAATGAAGACCATGTGGAAAAGGCTTCTTGGGGCGCCTCCTGGGGGCTTCTTGGGAGCCTCCTCGGGGGCCTCCTGGGGGCGTGTTGGGGACTCCTTGGGGCGTGTTGGGGCCGCTTGTGCCCTCTTAGGGAGGCGATTGGCTTGTCTGACGCCGTCGGAGGCCGTCTTGGGGGTCTCTCTGGGCCGTTTTGGTGCCCGTCTGGAGCGCTTTGAATGGGTCATGGGAGGCGCTTGAGCTGCCTTGAGGCCGTCTTGGGAGCCTCTTGTGCCCTCTTGGGGCCGTCTTGGGTCTATTGGGAGCCGTTGGGGCCCCTTTGGGTCGTCGCGGGAGCCTCTTGAGCTGCCTTGAGGCCGTCTTGGGAGCCTCTTGGGCCACCTTGGGCCGTTGTGGCGTCATGCCGACTACCTTGGGAGCCATCTTGGAGACTAGATCGGCCGCTTGGAGGCTGAAAAGAGCGCCCGACAGCAGTTTCTGAGGGGTCGAATATTGTTGTGGCCTCCGCCCAGTGCCGCCGATCCGGGACGCTTCCGTTGATGCCGGAAGCGCGCGATGGTGGTCATGACAGGCGACGACGGCGAGCGGTGAGGATGATGAGGATGATGATGATAATAATGATGATGATGATGATGATGATGATGATGATGATGATGAGGAGGAGGATTGTGAATGGAGGCTGCGGAGTAGGATGGTGATGATGATCGGGGCCGTGGTCGTTGACACGTCGCACAACAATGCGGCGGCGAGGGGGAGCTATAATGACGAAAAGATCAGCCAATTTCTTACCTCCCCTCCGTCGGCGGCAGCACTGCACACCCTTGGTTTAGGTTCGGCAATCATACTCGAGGAGGTCCACCGAGAAAACCAACCGAAATCGTCGGAAAATCTGCAGCACGAAACTTCCCCAACAAAATCAAAGCATCTCTAAGTCAAAACCTGCGGAAGTCTCAACTTCCAAAAAAAAAACCCAATACCTGCGAACATCTGAAACCTGTTTAAAAAGAGCCACAATCTGCGAACATCTCAGACGCTCTATATGTCTATATGTGTATAAATATATGTGTATATATATACCTACATGCATACACCTATATATATATATACATATATATACAAATAAAACTAACCATCTCAAAACCAAACCATGCGAGAATCTTCAAAAACCGAAATTTGAATGTCCAGTTGTTGTTCCAGAGTTGTTTTGAGTTCGCCAGGCGGTCAGACATGTGCTTAAATGTTTAAGTTTCCTAGGATGTTGTTTTACAGTGTTTGTTGAGTTTTTCTTTCAGTTCTGAGCGTTTGGACTTTTAAAAAATGGTTTACAGGCCTTTTGAGGTTTTTAGTCGTTTCGAGTTTGTTCGACAGTTTGTTAGGGTTGTTTCAGATTTTTCAGTTTTTAGAGTTCAAGTTTTGAGTTTTTTATGTTTGAGATGTCCCCAGGTTTCGGCTGAGAGTTGTTTAAACGTTTTTCCAGAATTCGAAATATTCGCGTGTTTTGGTTCGAGGTTTTTTGAAGCTTTTGAGGGTCGGACCTGCTCGCAGGTGTTAGCCTGCATGTTTTGAAATGTTAAGTGTTTGAGTTTCTTCGCCCGATATGGCGGTGGACCGCCTGTAGTCGCCACTGCCGAACCTCACCTTTGGCACGGTAGGTGCATTCGAGGGAAAGGTGATTATTCAGCGTCTCTTGTTTTTTTTGTGTTCTCGTCAGACTGGCACTGGATCAGGAGGACGAGTATGATGGTGATGATGGTTATGACGATGCTACTGCTGCGATTGCTGTTGATGGTGGTGGTGAGGATTATGATGCGGAGGATGATGATGGTGATGATGATGATGATGATGATGATGACGATGGTTGTGGTATTGGTGATGAGGGTGGTAGTGATGAGGGAGGTGGTAATGATGACGTTGATGATGGTGATGGTGATGATGATCGGGACCGTGGTCGATGACACGTCGCACAAGAATGCGGCGGCGAGGCGGAGCTAGAATGACGTAATGATCAGCCAATGTCTTACCTCCCCTCCCGCCGCCACTTCGAAAGACCCACATGCGTAGCACGCACCTTTGGCACTGCACGGCACGAGGGCGCCCTGAACATCTTCAGGTCCCCATGGAACGGATCGGCGGACGGCGACAGTTGCCGCACAATTCGTTCGCCCAGGGCACGCGGCCGCGCAGAGCGCGCGACAGCTCGACCGGGCGGCAGCGGCGACGGGCAGATCCATGTCCTTCCTGCGGGGGGAGGAGGCAAGAGGGGGAAACGGAGGAGGAGGAGGCGGAGAAGGAGGAGGAGGAGGAGGCGGAGGAGGAGGAGGAGGAGGAGGACGAGGCGGAGGAGCTCATGAATGGGAGGAGGAACGGTGGACGCGGGGTGGTGTGCATGGGGCGGGGGGAAAGGCGATGGAGGTGACCCATACTTTCTTCCAACTGCACTGAATGTGTCTCTATCCGCCGACGGGAGGCTCAGCGAGCCTGGAAACCCCACATGATCCCACCCCGTCATGCTCAAAGGAGCTGCGTACATGGGAGGAGGAGGAGGAGGAGGAGGAGGAGGAGGAGGAGGAGGACGAGGAGGAGGAGGAGGAGGAGCAGGAGGAAGGGGAGGACGAGGAGGAGATGGACGATGGGGTGATCTGATGACGTGGATGGGATTGAACGCCCGCCCCGTGGCCCGCGAGATGAGCAACGTGATGCTCGGCTCCGTGCGCCTGCGGCAGCTGCGCGTCTCGAAGAACACGGGCTGCCACGTGGGGCTCAGAGGATCGAGGGGGGAGGAGGGAGAGAGAGGAGAGAGAGGAGGGAGAGAGGAGAGGAGGAGAGAGGAGAGGAGGAGGAGGAGGAGGAGGAGGAGGGAGGAGGAGGAGGAGGAGGAGGAGGCGGCGAGGGCGGAGGTGGGAGATGAGAGACCGCGAGATTGAAGGAGGGAGGAGGAGGAGAGGAGGAGGAGAGGGAGCAGAAGAGGAGAGGAGGAGGAGGAGGAGGAGGAGCGGAGGAGGAAGACGAGGACGACGTCGGACGCTATGGCTCCATTCAAGCCAAGTTTGCCTGACGTCAAAATGGCGGAGGAGGAAAAGAGGAGGAGGAGGGAGGAGGAGGAGGAGGAGGAGGAGGAGGAGGAGGGGGAGGGGGAGGGGGAGGGGGGAGGAGGAGGAGCAGCAGGAGCAGGAGGAGGAGGAGGAGAAGAGGCGGAGGAGGAGGCTGAAGGCAGCAGAAATGAAGCGCAGTCCAAGCCGCTGCCCACGCGCTCACGCGGCGCTCGGCGGGCCGCCCTTTCGGGCGCCCGCGGCGGAAGGCGATGGAACGCCCCTCAGCCAGAGGCCCTCCTCTACCAGTCGTCAGGTGCTCCAGGCGGAGGTCGCCCCTCGGGCCCAGGGCTCCATCCTCCTCCTCCTCCTTCCTCCTCCTCCTAGCCCATTTCAGCACACCCCTTTTGCTGGGCATACCTGTCACCGTATCTGCGTCTATACTCGCGTACATGGCATACGGGTGGTGAGCACTCGCTTTCTACTCGCACGTGCACCATGGTCGCTCACACGTTCTCCCTTTCCTCTTACAACTGTCTCAGCATGCTGCAGCATGACAGATTCCAGGACATATCTCGCACGTTACGCACCAGCGTCATACTCATCCAGGGCACACGTCGTCGCGTTCATGAACAAGATCCATGTGATACACATACTTCTGCTGAGTACCATCAATTTCATTTTGGGTATCATCCTAAACAAGGCAATGCACATACTGGCGTCACTATCGCGTTAGCTTCCCAGAGGTTTTCGAGGTCTAACATCATCTCCGTGTCCTACCCTAAGCAGCAGTATCTCTGGGGTCGGGGGGGCGCTGTCAGATGCAAAAGTCACCAGTCGGACATCACCTTCGTCTCCGCCTACCTCCCCCCCAACACGGACACGGCCAGATCCCGACGAGATTATCAAAAAACGCTGGCGTGGTTTGAAGAACTTTATTCTTCCCTACCATCCCGTACACTACCTGTGCTGGGCATCGACTCTAACGAGCATATCGGGCTCATCAGGACCCCAGCGGGCCCCACACCTACCGACGATTCCTGCACTGGGCCTTTTAACAGGAGTCTTCAGCAACCTCGCACCCATCAGTTCATAGAGTTTCTTCTCAAGCATGACTTGATTTTACTCAACACGTTCTACCCCACCTTCCCCACATATTATCATGGAGTGTCTGGCTCCTCAAGTTACATTGATTTCATCATTGTGCCTCGCAGTTTCTTTTTGGCGCAGCACGTTCGCAAATGTCAGACTTTACGTTCTCTTGGGGATCGTTTGCAGCTGGTTCCTGACACGCGTCGAGTCGATCATCACCCAGTCTATGCGCTCATTGAGCACAATCTACGATACGAAGGGCAAGAAGCAGAGTGTCACGTTCGCTGGGATTTCGACCGACTTGTACAATCTGTTATGCAGGGTTCAAAAAGACAACAGTTTCTCATCGCTCTTGACAAGTGGACCGAGGACAACCGTTTCGTACTTGATGCTATCGCCAACAAGAGCTCATCTGAACAATGGGAAATGCTTGTTGAAAAAGGTCTTCTCTCTCTTGCTGCATCACATTACGGCAAGCAGGCTCAACAAGCTGGACCGCATTCTCATGAACGTCAAGAGCTACTTCGACAACGACGGGAGCTACGAGTTCAGTGCCTACAAGCGCCTGTCGTTTCACAACATGGCATTCTTTACTACTCGTTTCAGCACTGGCATAATCTGGCATCACTGTTTCGTGTCAATCGTAATATTCGTCGCCTTCACGCTGCACGTCTCAAAGAACTTAACGAACAACGACGTCTCGAGCTTCAAGACGCCTGGCGACAACGACGACTGGCTGAAGCATGGCAATTGGCACGACTTCTTACAGGCAGACGCATTGGACGAAGACTTCGTAATTATCACAAAGCTGCACTTCGACGGCGCTCAGAAGCCGAATGGTTTGCCAAACTTTCTCAACCTGGTTCTCAAGGCGGCTGGAATTGCATACGTTTACCTACCTCACAAGTACGTCAGGAATTCTTCGACGATCATGATGACGAAGTTCACGTTAGTTATCAGTGCCACTTACTTGGTGAATATGACCTCAAACAAGTCAGCTGGTGGATACGAAAAAGCTCAAATCGTAGAACGCCTCCTTCCTGGGATGTCCCCAACGAAGTCTGGAAAATGATATTGTGGCCCCAGGCAGTCTACAAGCAGGAGACACATGGAGTTGGTCATGATCCCACACTTTACGAGCCGAAGCTTTTCGTCAAACGCCTTCAGCACATCCTCGACATGACACGGGCTACTGGTCACAGTCCATTTCAGTTTCATCGCAGCCAAGGTTTTCAAATTCCCAAAAAAAGATGACGTTCGAATCGTTCACAGCATATCATCGTTTTCCAAGGCTTATCACAAAGGTCTTTTACGTCGGCCTGGCAAACCTTCGCGGCCTCCACCTCATCACGCGTTTGCTGTTCCTGGCCGCCGTCGAGAAGAAGCTATTCTTGTCAAGATGTTGGTTTCTCATCGGTGCTCCAAACATGGCATCAGTATCGCCAATCACCACTACGATGTGGTCAACGCGTTCGCTTCGCCGTCTCATGACATTATGGACAAAGCTACTCACTTTCTGATGATGCCTCAACCCGACGATGACTTTCCCGAAGAAGAGGAGGCTACGCCAGTTCACGTCGCTGAACAGGACGAACGGCTACTACGACAGCATCACCGACATGCCACGTGTGTTCTACAGACATCGGATATTCCCGCAGAATTTTATCCTCGCAGCGGCACGTTCCAAGGCAACAGTGTCGCGACCAACGAGTTTCACGTACCGTACTGGCAAGCTGTTCACGCATGGGAGGAAAAAACGAAAGATCATCATCTACTGGCCGTATCTCCTCTCAATGCGGCCGTCATCGACATGTCCATCACCTCCTTCGTCGACGATCTATGTAAGCAGTACACGGTTACTACACCTACGAGCTTCTACGATACTCAAGCACGGCACGACACTGTCCTGAACACCATATTCGACGAGTACACGATCGCGCAGCACACGGGCAAGAGCGAGTCCACCGTACACTTCGTCGGCACGCTTGCGCATACATATCAACGACAAGTACATGCACAACAGTCACAATACAAAGTACTCAGCGCAGCACGATATCTCGGGCCATATTTACACTACCGCAATTGCTTCTATGTCGAGCGAAACTTAAGGATACAAGCTGCCAGCAAAGCATGGTTTATATTCAAAAGGTTTTGGTTCACTCGCACTGATCTTCGCTTTCGCGTTCTCGTATTTCGATGCACAGTATGGTCAGCACTTGTCTCAGGGCTCACAGCTTTCGTCCTCACCCAGCACGACTACAACATCTTCGACAAATATATACTGTACAAGGCACGTAAACTCATGAAAGGCAAGGCTACCCAAAAGACCCTTCTCGACGACGGCACGATTAAGTATCGACCCATTCCATCGATTGAAGTGTGGCGCAACATCGGCATGGCAGACACACTTACAGAGTTACGTATACAGAGATTGAAATGGTTTCAGAAGATATGCAGTCATCCTCTTCATCATCAATTGTACGTCACCGCTATGTTCGGTCGCTTTCCTCACGACCCCCCAGAAGATGCGATTTCTCACCCTTGGTTGCAGCAGCTGAATGAAGACTTGCAGGCATTATCGTTGCTGGAGTGTGCTTATTTTCTTGAAGATGTATCCCCGCGGCAGTTGCTAGACGCTGGCACATTGCAGGAAGACTTTCTCGAGATCGATATCTCAGCATTGCGTGCTAAGTTCCTCTCAGCCAACATACCTCCTCATCACCATGAGTATGACACGCTAAATCCTACTACATCATCATGTTCTTTACCTACAGGTGAATATTATTGTGGTCTCATGCGCACTGATGGTAACATATGCACACTTACGTTCCCCACCATGAAAGCGCTCAGATTACACCGGGCACGCGAACAGTCCATGCACGGCATGATTACGTTGGACTCCATCGTGTTAGAGGCAGTATGTCCATGGTGTTCTACACACTTCTCTACTCGTAAAATTGCACAAGATCACGCAAGGCGTAGTTGGCATTATGGTAGATGTATTGTCGACCAGAGCTTTATCCCCTCGCCTCCTATTGTATCGGACACAACATATTCATGCGCTATATGCAAGCTCTACGGCAATAATTACGAGTGCGACGACATATACGTGTACAATCATCATATCCGTACCAAGCATCTCTCTGGTCCAAGAAGATTGGAGTTCTCAGCATCCGATACTCTCAGCATTCTTCATCCTACTGGTCCCTCAGAGAGTGCTGATGGATCTCGGCCTAGCAGCAGGCGGCGCCAGACCGCCACAGAAGGAGCGACGCAAAGGAGCCAATCAACACGACCTGCAGGCCCTCGTTCTTCTCATAGCAAAGTTGACCCTCAGTACTGCTATGTCGTCGAGGATTCTCAGGGCCATCGTATTGGAAAACTATCAGGTGAGCGAGAGCTCCGAGTATTTCGTCCAGGGGAAGAATTCTACCGAGAGCTATGCGGAGGCCGCGAAGCAGTACGGGAAGGACCAGAAGCAACAGAAGATCGCAGCCCTCGCTCATCCTCACGTACACGTCTGGAATGCATGGATCATCGTGGCGAAGACGTCTCTTGGAGTGAAAGACCTCGACCCGCCGAAGGCCACCAGTCTTCAGCAGTACATCGACAAGATGAAACAAGGCAGCCCCGAGACGTCCAAATACCTTCACAATCTCCTGAAAGAAGTTCAATATGCACGATGCTGCAAGACCTACGACAGCAAGACCAAGCGCCTGGAGGTCAACGTCAAGCCCAACAGCGACAGCGAGAAGGTATTGCAGCAAATCCTGGTTCCGTTGTGGCTACGCGACAAAGCAGTGAAGCTCGAAGGAGTGGCGCCACCAGGGGACCTCGAGCGCAGGATTCAGCAGGCGATCGACGAGTTCGAGGCCCAGTGATACCCTCAGAGGCAGCTCGTGCCGTGCCTGACCCAAGGCGGGGGGCGCGGTGCGAGTGGGGACTGCCCGGCGGTGCGCCGTTAGTGACCCTCGCACCGTTGCTCCCCGGCCCCGCGCACGGCGCTGAGAGTTCAACTCTGCCTCTGGCTGGATGGAACAAAAACGTGCCTGACCCAGGCGCTCGACGAGTACAGCAGGCAGATCATCCTGCTGCGGACGCTCGTGCTGTGCCTGTCACATCAGCCGATCATCGAGTTCGGCACGCAGTGAGGCCTGCTGACGCTCGTGCTGTGCCTGATGTTCCAGGCCCCTGCCGCCAGCCGAGAGACAGATCCCCTCCTCGTCCCCCCCCTCCTCCTCCTCTTCCAGTTTTGAGTGTGTCCGACGGAGTTCGACTGTCGTCACGGTTTCAGGAGGCTCGTTTGAAACATGAGCGATCTAAATCGAGATCACAGGGATAAGACTTGTGGTGCACTTGTGCTACAGGTACGAGTGTACGGCGTTCGCGGCCCCTCACGCTTCGTGCTGATTCGGGGCTTGCGTGCACTGTCGTCGGTGGGCCTTGCTCGTGTCACCCCCTCTACAGTCGCGCGTCTCTGAGCGTATGAGCCCCTGTTTAAGTCCTTTCTGCCAGGCTGAATCGACAGGTCTTCGAACGATCGCTCTTGTGAGTTGTTATTATTATTATTTATTATTATCCTCCTCCTCCTCGATCCTCCTCCTCCTCCTCCTCCTCCTCCTCCTCCTCCTCGATCGTCCTCATCCTCCTCGATCCTCCTCCTCATCCTCCTCCTCGATCCTCCTCCTCCTCCTCCTCGATCCTCCTCCTCCTCCTCCTCCTCCTCCTCCTCGATCCTCCTCCTCCTCCTCGATCATCCTCCTCCTCCTCCTCCTCGATCCTCCTCCTCCTCCTCCTCTTCCTCCTCGATCCTCGTCCAGGCCCTCAGCCATAGGCCCAGGGGCACCCGAGCCGAGCCCAACCGTGGCGACGCGGGAAGCCATCGGCGCGGCACTGCCCACAGGCCCCGGCACCGGGCGGAGGGCCGTTGCCCCACGAGGCACCGCAGGACCGCGACCGGAGCGCCAAAGGCCGCGCGGGCCAAGAGGCCCCGCCGAGCTCCCGGCGCCCCGCTCGAGCCCTGAGGGAGGCCGATCGCGGCCGAAGACGTCGGCAGCAGGAGCTCCAGAGCGCCTTGAAGGGGCCCAGGGACACACGAAGAAATACAGTAGGAGGTCGACCACAAGAAACCTTCCACAATAGTCCCCACCCTGAGACCACAGGATGTCCGTTGCCCCCGCCTATTCGGGGCCTCGGGCTTTGCGAGCGGCGCTCCCTCACGATCGTGGTCGACCGCCACCCCTTGCAGTCCTCTATGGCCTTGCAGCTTCGGGCGGTGCGGGTGAGCCCCCAGACCTCCAACGTATGGGAATATTCAGACAGGAGGTTTTTCGTCGTGTTCGACCTCTCGGGGCCCTTTGGGCGCCCCTGGACCGCCAAAAGATCCAGGAAGAAAAACCGGTCACCGGTAAGTGGTCCAGAGCTCTGGGAACCCCGCATTGGAAAAACAATACACAACGGTCGTTGAAAGTAGGTATTCTTGGATGCCCAAATCCCAATCCACTTCAAGCGCCTTCCTACTTCAAGAATCGGCATGACTTTGCTGTGTGTTGTTCTTCTCTGGGAGGGCCTGGACCCAATCCACTTTATCCGCCTTCCTACTTCATGTTTTTACCTACGTCTTTCGACCGACGTGTACACCGGAAGTCTGGGCCCGCCCCGCAGCATTCTCCGCCGCCGCTTCCCCGCGCCAGTGGCCTGCTGGGCTGGGCCGCAGCACTCCCTCGCACACGCCCTTCGCCACCTGCTCCACTTGGCATCGCTCGGACGTGTGCATGTTTCCTTCGGCGAGGATCATCGAGGAGCATCCTTGATCATTTGGCGAACAAGCCACGCACGAAGCTCCAAAAAACACAGGGAATGGACGTCCGAGCGATGGCCAGTCCAGCGTGGGGCACTGGCAGAGGGGGGCTGACCTTCCCGAGAGCCACGGCCACCTCTCGAAGAAGAAACAACGCCATAAACATGAACCTTTGGCGCTCCGCGCGGATTTCTTGGATCCGCGCCGGGCCCCCACGGCGGCGCCCCCGGCGCCACCCTTGGCGCGCTCCGCTCGCCAGGGAGGGGTGTCCAGCGCAGATCCAAGAAATCCGCGCGGAGCGCCAAAAGTTTCTGTTTAGGGTGCTTCTTCTTCTTCTTCGATCAGTACCCTCCTGGTCTCCAGCCTCGTTCTGGGCCCCGTCCGGAGAGGCCCGCTCACGGGCTGCAGGAGTTTCGCGCCGCAGCCCAGCTGGCGCGCGGAGCTTGCCCGTTGGAGGCAGACTCTATGGCCCTCCGAGTTTTTTTTTATGTTTATGCCATTTGTCGTTCTCCTCAGCTTACATTCAAAAACCCTAACCAGGACGCGCGACTTTGCTCAGGGTACCCTTGCGTCCTTGCTCTTCCTTGCTCTTGCGCCCTTGGGGTTTTCGTCGCCCGCCGCCCCAAAAATCCCAACTCCGGCTTCCGAGGGTCTCGCGTCCTTGCCGCGCGTCCTTATTGGGTTTCTGACTGTGAGCGAGGGGTCCACCGACGAGCGAGCGAGATCGCCGCCGCCGCCCGACGCGGCACGCCGAGCTCCCTCCGGCCCGCGCCCCGCCGAGCCGCAGCTCCCCCGCCCGGGGGAGGGGTCGAGGCCCGAGGCCAGCACGGCCTTGTGCCAGAGGGGCTGCGGAGGGGAGGATCGGGGGCGGCCAAGAGGGGGTGCGGTAGGTTTGCGTCGTGTCGACCAGCGGCGACCCCAGCGCAGGCGTTCAAGGTTGAACGCCGCCGGCGACCCAGAATCGATCGATGTTGAACGATTGGACGTTGCGGAGACGGCCGATCGTTCAAGGTTGAACGATCCCTGCGGTGTCAAAAACCAACGCTGGGGTCGGCACGACACGAACCCGCCGTGATGACTCTATAACATTCCGCGGGGGTCTAGGTCATAGGGGTTTAGGTTCTCAGGGTTTCGGGGGCGTATGGATCTGGATTCTGATGGATATCGCTTGGATTATGATGGATATCACTTGGGTGCTGATGATGGTGATGAGTATGGGTCGTCGATGGTGATGAGAGTGATGAAGAAGAAGAAGAAGATGATGATGGTGATGATGATGATGATGATGATGATGATGATGATGATGATGATGATGATGATGATGATGATGATGATGATGATGATGGTGGTGGTGGTGATGGTGATGGTGATGATGATGGGGGTGGGTCAATTCCATGGCTGGGGCCGCGAGGTCTCCACGGAGTTCACGGCCCCCTTCTCCTGTTTCAGGTCGTCCCACAGGTCCCCCTTGGGTGAACGAACAATGCCATGAACATAGAAACTCGGAGTTCCGCGCGGATTTCTCGAATCGGCGCTGGAAGGACGGAGAGGGAGGGAGGAGGGAGGGAGGGAGCAGGAGGAGGAAGAGGAGGGAGGAGGAGGGAAAAGGAGGAGGAGGAGGAGGGAAGAGGAGGAGGAGGAGGAGGGAAAAGGAGGAGGAGGAGGAGGAGGAGGAGGAAGAGGAGCGGCAGCCGCACGAGTCGGGTGAGCAGAAGCATGACGAGAAGGAGCGAGGAGAGGGTGGCGATCGAAGCGAGCTGGAAGGTTCCCACATCGGGGATCCGAAAGATAGGACGCCCCTCAGCTCCTTACCAGGTCCAGGGTTGTCGAGCCCTCTAGCCAGCTTGACGCCTAAGGAGGCGGTCAGGGCTGGCTGTGTTCTGGCTGTTACGGGTGTTCGGCATCGACCAACGTTTCCAATGCTCACAGCATAGCATCAAGGTGTAAAGAAATGCGGCTGCCACGCGGGACGCGCACTGTCGTGGCCATGGCATGAGCAAGGAGCGTCTGTCATCGGAGGGGCAATAGACCATGATGGTGATTTCAGTGATGATGGTGATGATGATGAAAATGATGATGATGATAAGTATGATGACGAGGATACTGATGATGATGATGTTGATGATGATGCTGATGCTGATGCTGATGCTGATGCTAGTGCTGGTGATGATGATGATGATGCTGATGATGATGATGATGATGATGATGATGAGCTGGTGATGCTGATGTGGTGATGATGATGGTGGTGGTGGTCGTGGTGGTGGGTGTGATGATGATCATGACGACGATGATGATGTTGATGATGACGACGACGATGATGATGCTGATGGTGGTGGTGGTGATGATTATGCTTCTAGTGGTAGTGCTGCTGCTGATGCTGCTGATGATGTTGTTGATGCTGATGATGCTGCTGTTGCTGCTGATGATGGCGATGATGATGCTGCTGCTGATGATGATGATGATGATGATGATGATGATGATGATGATCATTATAATGATGATGAGGATGATGGTGAGGATGAGGATGGGGATGGGGATGATAATCATGATGCGTTCTCAGATTCCCAGCACTTCCCATATGTGCTAATGTGCCACACGGGCAGCAGAAACGAGAGCCGCTAGGTTGTCGGGAATTCCTGGAACGTATGTTGAACCGATCGCATCATGACAATTTGATGGCCCTGTATCAACTTGGTAGTGCGGTGTGATAGGTGTTGCCCCCCAGTGGTTGCGAGCGCCATGACCGCGTGCGCCACGTGAGTGCCGGCACCCTCAGGTGTCAAAGCTTGCGGCCCACGTGTTCCCTAATTGCTACGCGTCGTACAGCGACTCTTACAGGATTCGGTTGCCGCTTGCCTCCGCGTGCAGCGATTTTACGCAGACGTCCAGGCAATCGTCGTTCTGCAGCTCGCCATCGTTGATGTGGATGCCGATGTAGTTGCGCTCGTGTCGTTCTGTTGGCGTTGGTGACTATTTTCACAGACCACCCCCACCCAACTCAAAGGCCACAGAGCCCTCCAAAATATCGGGTTGGTGGGTGTGCGGGTTCCAGTGTGCTTTTCAGGCTCCGCGCTGGAAATTCAGGTTGGTTTTGGGGGGGTGGAGTGGCTTGGTACAGTCGGGGCGCTGAAGAATGAACCCTTTTCATTGGGGAGGGGCCCCGTGTTCCCTGATTGTTTCGCAGTTTGCCTCAGGTTCTCCTCAGGTTCTCCGATGGCACATCGCAGTTTACCTTATGGAAACGCCTCGTTCCCTAGGTCAACGTTCCCTATTTAAGGTCCCCATTTAGGGTTCCTCGGTCCTCGTTCCCTACTTAGGGCTCCTTAGGTCAACGCCCCGACTGCAGGCAATCATGTTGGCGCTGTCGGCGGCGAGCCCAGGGCTCAGGGCCGAAGTGAGGAGGGGCTGGGCCTTCTCGAAGGTCGGCGGCGACAGAGTGTTGAGACCGCCCCAAGCCTGCTGAGATACGCTGGGGCTTCCTGGGGGGGGTCCTCCCCCTCCTCCTCCTCCCCCTCCTCCTCCTCCTCCTCCTGCTCCTCCTCCTCCTCCTCCTCCTCCTCCTCCTCGAGGGTCGAGGATCAGACCCTGAGATCCGACCCCGGGGAAGCCGTCTGAGCCTCGCCCGCAGGCGCAGAAGTCGGGTGCAGTTCAGTCGGGCCCGGCCCTCTACAGGGGGAAGATTCCAAAAGAGTCAGAAAAAAAAATCTGGGGACTGTTTGTCGCCCATTTTTGCTCCTCTGGGGGGGCAACTTTTACCTAACAGCTCTTGCTGATAGGTTTCTAGTGGTCTCAAAAGAGAGCATCATGACTCCTCAGGGGGGTCTGGGCAGGACCCGGGGAGCTGCCGCCGAAGCCGAAATCGCTTGGGACATCCTCGCAAAATCGCTCTTGGTGCTCCCAGAACTCCATTCCCGGGCCACATTTTGGATGCCCGGAGCCAACTGTAGGCCACTTCGTGCTCTTCAACTTCCCAGAACTCCATTCCCGGGCCACATTTTGGATGCCCGGAGCCAACTGTAGGCCACTTCGTGCTCTTCGATTTCCCAGAACTCCATTCCCGGGCCACATTTTGGATGCCCGGAGCCAACTGTAGGCCACTTCGTGCTCTTCAAGTTCCCAGAACTCCATTCCTGGGCATGATTTTGAATGCCCGGAGCCAACTGTAGGCCACTTCGTGTTCTTCTAGTTCCCAGAACTCCATTCCTGGGCCACATTTTGAATGCTGAGGCAGGCTGATGCTGCGGCCGAGGCAGGCTGAGGCTGAGGCAGGCTGAGGCTGAGGCCGAGGCTGAAGGCAGACTGAGGCTGAGGCTGAAGCAGACTGAGGCTGAGGCTGAGGCAGGCTGAGGCTGAGGCTGAAGCAGGCTGATGCTGAGGCAGGCTGAGGCTGAGGCTGAGGCTGATGCAGGCTGAGGCTGAGGCAGGCTGAGGCTGAGGCCGAGGCTGAAGGCAGACTGAGGCTGAGGCTGAAGCAGGCTGAGGCTGAGGCTGAGGCAGGCTGAGGCTGAGGCTGAGGCAGGCTGAGGCTGAGGCAGGCTGAGGCTGAGGCTGTGACTGCGACTGCCGTTGCCGCTGCGACTGTCATCGCGAATGCGACTACGACTGCGAGAACAGCAGAATTCGACAACTGGATTTTCATCTGAATCTTAAGGGGAATGCTTTCAGATATGCTTCTACACATCGCTGTTAGGTTGCTTTGCCGGGATAATTCTAGTATTCTTGATTTTTCGCGCAAAGCCCCCCTGTAGGGGGACACGCCCGACTTAAGGGTATAGCCAGGACCCCGGTTGAGGGGAGCCAGCTAGTGATTCCGGAGGGTTACAAAGGGGATTTGGGGGGGAGGGGGTTTTCCGGGAGGGGTCCCCCAGGGCCTTCGCACACCCCATTTTGACAACGTCCGAGACCCCTGGGGGGGCTTTGGAAAACCCCTCCCCCAAAACCTCCTTTGGACCCCTCCGGGTGATTGGCCCCCGAAGCCTAAAATATGGATTGGAATCACCAAACCAGGTCTGCCGAATCTGATGCTTTTCGGGTTACGGCGATTCCGGTCAGTGGAATGGGACGGATTAGGGCGCCCCCCGGTACACATTGGACCGGGTCCCACTGAACCCAGTCCCGCCAACGTCCGAAGAAGGCTCCTCAGAAGGCCGGAGGGCTTCTGAGAAACCCCGCCGCCTTCTGAGAAGGCTTGCCCCCTCTCACTCGCCCTCCGGGTGCGCCGCCGATGACGGCGGTTGGCGTCGGTGGTGTTGCCAGAGATTCCCTGGTGTGGCCGCTGCCGCGCCCTTCCCGCCGCCCGCCACTGCATCCGCCCCCTCCGCTCCGCTCGCCGGGGGTCAGCGAAGGGGGGCACAGCTTCCCCTCGTCGGCCCTCGGGGCGCGGCGGAAAACTCGGGCGAGGTCCTCGCCCGCCCCCCCGGGGCGCGGGTTGCAAGCCGCACCCTCTGCAAGCCACGCGCTGCGGAGTCGCCGAGCGGTGGGGGGGGGGCGCTCTCTCTCGCCGCCGCCGCCACCGCCGCCCCCGCCCCGCGGGCCCGCCGCGAAGGAGCAACGTCACGTACGCCCCGCGCTTCGGGCCCACGTACCTGAAGTCCGCCTTCGCGTGGAAGGAGCGGGGGGGGGGGGGGGGGGGCGATGGCGCGAGGGGGCAGACTGGCGGAGCCCCGAGCCATGAGGGCAAGGGGCGGCCAGGGGTGACGTCTGATGCCTCTGGATGGTGCATTAATCGATGGGGGGAGGTGACCGACCTTCCGACGGAGCTTAGCAGCCACCCCCCTCAATCCTCCTTCCCCTCCTCCTCCTCCTCCCCCTCCTCTTCCTCCTCCTTCTCCTCCTCTTCCTCCTCCTCCTCCTCCTCTTCACCCCCCCCAGACACCCGTTCCAACAGCACGTGCCCAACCCTTCCACCGAATGCAGAGCAGGGCGTCCCGCTTTCGCTCCAGAGTTCCCCCGGATTGCATTCTACCTGAGTTCTCCCGTTGTCCAGCATTTTCTTGAAACAGGAGCTACTTCGGTTCAAGTGGTTCCAGGGTCTTCCCGGATATCATTTGAGCGACGCAACAAAGGCGTCGTCTTCATCGACAGTGGCGCGTAAGGTGCCCGCGTAAGGTCGCGCGCAAGACTCGTTTTTGATCGTCGCCCACGTGGCTGTTGCCCAGCGCTTTCTGGAAACAGGAACTATACCTCGGAGCAGGTGGTTCCACGGTCTTCCTGCGTGTCGCGGGGTGTCAAATCCATGTTCGGGCGTTCCCGAGAAGATTCAAGATCACATCTCTGTTAGGGTTCTCTCGAACGAACGAGCGTGGTGGGCGCCCCCGAGCAGGACTATGCGATGCAGGAAGCACAGCATGTCTTGGGCGCTCCAAAGCACATTGGGCAACCACTCCCCCCCGAGCGCTCCAAGAAGAGATATATGTTGCCGAACTTGTTTTGGGAGCGCCCGAGGAGGGATGTATCACGCAGGCCGCTCGGAATCGACCACGTAACGAAACCATGTTTGGGCGCCCTCGAGCAGCTTCGGGAGCCTTGGCATCGCTCGGACGTGTGCATGTGTTCTCGGCGAGAACCAGCGAGGACCATCCTGGACCAGCGAGCAGTTCAAACACGCGCGAGACCGAGAAGTGCGCGGGAAATGGACGTCCGAGGGAGGAGGAGGGAGGAGGAGGGAGGAGGAGGAGGGGGGAGGAGGAGGAGGAGGAGGAGGGAGAGGAGGGAGGAGGAGGAGGGAGGGGGAGGAGGAGGGAGGAGGGAGGAGAGGAGGAGGAGGGAGGAGGAGGATGGAGGAGGGAGGAGGAGGAGGAGGAGGAGGAGGGAGGAGGAGGAGGAGGAGGAGGAGCGACGGCAGGCAGCGCACCTCCGTTTTGGGGCCGGCGTTTTTGCTCGCGCGCGCGGGCGAGCGAGCAAGCGAGAGAGAGTCCGCGCGAGAGGCCGGCCGCGCGAGCTCGCTCCCCCCCCCCCCCCCTCTCTTCGCGCCCGCCCGGCCGCTCGCTCGGGAGAGAGAGAGAGAGAGAGAGAGATATATAGAGAGAGAGAGAGAGAGAGAGAGCGACCGAGCGAGCGACCCAGACCCCCTCGAGTTATGAAAAAATCACGACGGGAGGTTTTTCATTACTTTTGGCCTTTGGGGGCCCTGACCGGCCCTCGGGACCGTCACAAAACGACTCAGGACGAAAAACCGGTCCCGGGGAATGGGTCGAGACCTCGGGGGGTCGACGTCATGAAAAAATCATGACGTCGGGGGTCTGGGGAGCGAGCGAGCGAGCGGTCGCCCTCTGGCTCGCTCGCTCGCTTCCTCCCCCTTCCCCCCCCCCTCCCTGCGCCCGCCCGCCCGCTCGAGCGAGCGGGCAAGGGGCGCGGCGCACCCCTGCGCGGGGAGGGGGAGCAGGAGGCGGAGAGGGGGAGGAGGCGGAGCGGGACCGCGCGTGGGCAGCGTGGGGCAGCGCGCGGGGAGGCAGGCGAGGGCCCCCCCCCCCCGGGCTTAAGTCGGGCCCGTCCCTCTCCAGGAGGAAGATTCGAAGATACTTGGAAACTGGTCCGGGGACCATTGTTTGGCTATGTTCGAGCATTTTGGGGTGCATGTTGTTGCGTATGTTTCATTCTTGTCCAAGATCCCCGTGTAGGGGGACAGGCCCGACCTAACCCTGGGCCCCAGAGCCCGCAGGATGCGAGCGAGACCAACCAGATCTCCATCCGGGGCTCTCTGAACACGTACGGCGCCGACGGCTTCGTGGCAGACCTGCCCTTCAACCGCTCGGACTCGCCCGGCCCCCCGCCTCTCTCCAGACCCCCCGCCGCCTCCTCCTCCCCCGGGCCTAGTCTGCCATCCCCGGGGTCACTCCTCTCCCTCCTCATCCATCTTCATTGCGCCTTATCCTCCTGATGTGTCCCCCCACCTCCTTGCTCCTCCTCCTTAACCTCCTCCTCAATCTCCTCCTCCTCCTCCTCCTTTTCCTCCACCTCCTCCTCCTCCTCCGCCAAGACGTCCGCCGACTCGATGTTGTTGGAGTCGACTGCCACTGGAGCTCTCGGCCCCTTCCCTGGGACTCGCTGTTTATCCTGAGTCGTCGTGCCTGAAGATCCTGTGGCGCAAAAAGCAGCCCCCTAGGTCCAAATGACAATAAATCTTCGGCGCGATCTTTTCGTGTCGCCAGGGGCCTGCGTCATTGTCGTTATGTCATCCTTCTCCTCGTCCTCCGACCTTCCACCTCCTCCTTCTGTAGGCTGTAGGTCTCCCTCCTTCCTCCTTCCCCCTCTGATCGAGGACAGCGCCGTCATGATCCGCGACCTGTGGAACTCGAATTGGGTGGACAGCGCCACGCGCGCGGTGGTGATCGAGTTATCGGCGCCCACCGCACCCCCATACGGTAGATTAGCGTCGTGTCGACCAGCGGTGACCCCGCCGCGGGCGTTCAACGCTGAACGCCGCCAGCGACCCAGAATCGGTCGATGTTGAACGATCTGACCTTTCGGAAATGGCTGATCGTCCGAGGTGGAATGATCCCCAGGGCGTCAGGAACCAACGCCAAAGTCGGCACGACAAGAACCTGCCGTAAGCATTCTGGAAGGAAGGGGGATGAGCGAGGAGGGGGGAGGGGGTCCACGGGTCAAGAGGGAGGAGGGGGTAGAAGGGCGGATGAGTGAAGGAGGAGGGATGGGGCGGAGGAGAAAGTGGGAGGGAGGGTGGAAGGGCCAGAGAGCACGAGCGCTGCGCCCCCTGGAAGCCTCGGGCGGTGACCATGGGGTCCTGTTCGTAAAGGGGCAAGGGGTGCACCTGCTAATCTTACGTCAGGCCTGTCCCTCTACAGGAGGAATATCAAAGCAACAAACAAACAACAGAAAACAAAACAACAAAAACAAACAGAGGACGATGTTTGTTTTACCATGTTTGCATGTTGATTGAATATGTTTGGGGATGTTTTATTTATCGTCCAAAATTCGCCTGCAGGAGGCCATGTCCGACCTAGCGTGAAGTCGGGCCTGTCCCTCTACAGGAGGAATATTCAAACATAGCAAAAAATAGTATGGGGACGACGCTTCGAGTATTGTTTGACCATTTGGGTGTATGTTTTCACTTCTTTTCCTGGTCCAACATCCCCCTGTAGGAGGACAGGCCCGGCTTAAGCCTAGCGCGAACCTGGGCGCCGTTGCTTGCGCGAGGAGCGCGCGAGACGCCGCCGGAGGGGGCACCCAGGGCTTGCAAAAACCGCGCTCCTTCGCTTGGCATCGCTCGGGCGTGTGCATTTTTTCTCGGCGAGAACCATCGAGGACCATCCTGGACCATCGAGCAAAAAAAAAAACACGCACGACACCGAAAAGACGCACGGGGAATGGACGTCAGACGCGGACGAAGCGCACTCGTGGGCACCGGGAGCCGCACGCGGAGCCCCGCCGGCGTCGGAAGCCGCTGGGGCCCCCACGGCGGCGTGGCAGTGGCTTTGTGTGCTGACTCCTCCTCCTCCTCCTCCTCCTCCTCATCCTCCTCCTCCCCTCCTGCCCTCCTCCTCCCTCCTCCTCCTCCTCCTCCTCCCTCCTCCTCTCCTCCCTCCTCCTCCCCCTCCTCCTCCTGCTCCTCCCCCCCTCCTCCTCCTCCTCCCTCTCTTCCTCCTGCTCCTCCTCCCCCTCCTCCTCCTCCTGCTCCTCCTCCTTGCCTCCTCCTCCCCCACTCCCTCCTCCCCCTCCCCCTCCTCCTCCCCTCCTCCTGCTCCTCCTCCTCCTCCTCCTCCTCCTTGTCCTCCTCCTTTTCCCCCTCTTCCTCCCACCTCGTTCCCCCCTGGTCCTCGAGTACAGGGTCACGGCGTCGGAGTCGGGGGCCCGCCTCTCTGCCGCTGGTGGTGCCCTCCCCCCGATGCACACCTAATTCAGCGGCCAAGCCTCCTCCTCCCTCCTCCCTCCTCCTCCCTCCTCCTCCCTCCTCCTCCCTCCTCCTCCCTCCTCCTCCCTCCTCCTCCCTCCTCCTCCCTCCTCACACAGACACAATGAATCGTCGACTCCCCAGGAAAAGATGGGAAACTATGGGAAGTGGGGGGGGGAGGCAAAAACTCCCAGATAACACCGGAGCATCTGGGGAGTCCTCTTGTTTGTGTGCATGTATCTGTGTGTCCCGGGGCCCCTCCAAATATAGGAAAATATGGGGAAATCTTTTATTTGTGTGTGTGTGTGTATTTATCTGTGTGTCCCAGGGCCCCTTCGAAATTGCCCCCCGGGGCGCCGCGGGTGGCCGTGGTGCTGGCGAGGAGCTCTCGCCCAGCCTTGCGCGCCGGCCCGCGTTCGGGGGCTCGCCCCCGGCACTCGCCGGGCGCACTCTCGCCAGCACTGCTTAAAACGACGCGAAGATCGGGACAAATTCGGATCGGGATAACTCGAAATCTCTGAGAATCGGCGGGTTTGGAGGATGTATTGGGCGCCGCGGCCGCTCCACAGCGTTCCGGAACGCTCTGAGAGCGCTCCGGAACGCTCTGGAGCGATTTATCCCGATCTTAGCCCTGTTTTACTGCTGTGCCACGCGCAGGGCTCGGAGCGCAGGGGAAACTGCAGATTCGCGCCTCGGGGGCCCAAGCCGCAGTCATCCCAGACCGCAGCGATCCCGGATAATCTGGGCGTCCAACCCTCGCCAGTCGTCAGGGCTGTGGACAGTCAGGGGCAACTACACATTGGCGCCTCGGGGGCTCAATCCGCAGTTACCCTGGACCGCACTTAGCCGGATAATTCGGGCGTCCAAGGGCAGGGGGAGGGGAGAAGTCTTCTTAGGGAAGCCTCTGCTTCTTAGAAGGCGCGGGCCTAGGAAGCGACCTCCTGCTAAGAAGCCTTCCCCCCTCCCCCTAACCCCCTCTGCGCGCCGCCAAGTCAAACTACGTCCCAGCCAGCGTGGACCCCAAACAATGAGAAATTGCACCGTGGAGGTGGACGCTACACAGTGTAAGCGATGTGGTGTCGGCTACGTCGTGCAAGCTACGTGGTGTGAGTCCTGGAGGTGGACGCTATGCGGTGTAAGATCGAAGACGCCTACGGCGAATCACCGCCGCCCCCTGCCTTTTGGAATTGCCAATGTGGCCGAGTGTTGCGGCACGAGCTCTGCCAAGCTATCGAGCCATGTGTTCTCCCAGCCTTTGTAGAAACACTGGCGGGAGGATGGCGGGGAAGATCAGGAGGAGGAGGAGGAGGAGGAAGAAAAGGAGGAGGAGGAGGGGGCATCTTGGGAGCCTCTGGGGGCACTTTTGGGGCCTGCTTGGAGCTTTCTGGCAGCATTTGGAAATATCTTGGGGGCCTCCTTGGGAGCCTTGGGGGCCTTTGGGGGCTTCTCGGGAGCCTCTTTGGCCGTCTTAGGGCATTGCTGGCCCGTCTGACTCCGTCGGCAGCCGTCTCTGGGGTATCTCTGGAAGCAACTACCAACATCTTCCAAAAACCGAAGGCAAATCAATGATATCTTCGTGCCTTCTGGAGGCCCTCTTGGGGGCCTCTGGGGCCGTCTTGGAGACCTCTTGGGCGCCTCTTTGGCCGTCTTGGGCCATCTCGGAGCCATTTTGGGCTGTCTTGAGGGCCTCTCTGGGCCGACTTGGGGCCCTCTTGGGGTGTCCCAGGGCCGTCTTGGAGGCCATCTTGAGCATCGCCGAGGCCTCTTGGGACCGTCTTGGGGCCTCTTGGGCCGCTCTGAGACCCTCGTGGAGGCCTCTTGGGCGATCTTGGGGCGATCTTTGGGGGCTCGTGGGCCGTCTCGGGCCGTCCCCTGTCTGTTCGCACAGTCGGATGTCGAGCAGGGCAAGGATCCCGAGAGGGTACGAGATGCATGGTTGTGCACGGCGTGGCACGGCGTGGAAGAGCACGGCAGAGCTTAGCATGCTCGGGGGGGAGCCAGACATGACGTGAGACGAAATCTGTAATTGAACGCTTCGGAAAGAGTGGAAGCGTAACATGAGCCAACGGTGCAGCGGGAGCACGACTTGGAAGATCGGCAACAGAGAAACGAGGTCAGCGTTGCAGCGGGAATAGGATGCGGAAGGATTGAGAGCCAGACCAGGGAGCCTACGTTGTAGCGAGAGTGCCATTTGGGAAACACCGAAAACGCTCGGACGGAGAACAAAAACATAGCATCGATCACATTTGGGGGATCCATTGTGTAAAACAATACGCGGAGGGGGGCAGGCTAGTGATCGTGTGTTTTATTCGTTGTTTTGCCGATCGGCGCGGGCCCTCGCCCCCCCCGCGTGGAGTAGATCTTGGTTGTTTTTGGCGCCTGTTTCACGCATGTGGAGTCTCCCCCACAGGACGCACTGCTGCAACCAGTCGCATGAAGCAGAGGACTGGAGCCAAATCCCCCCCTCCCCCTTCCTTCCCGCCCAATGTCGAAACGCCGAATAAGAAAACGCTCACCTTCCGGGGTCATCGGGAGATAGAGGAGATTAGTGTTGGTGTTGTGCAATTATGGAGGAGGGGGAGGAGGAGGAGGAGGAGGAGGAGGAGGAGGAGGAGGAGGAGGAGGAGGGGGAGGAGGAAGAGGAGGAGGAGGAGGAGAAGGGGGAGGAGGAGGAAGAGGAGGAGGAGGAGGAGAGATAGTCACGGGGGTGGGGAGATGGAGGGAGAGGGCTGGGAGGGAGGGGGGGAGGAGGGGCCACGCCAGCAGGGGAGGGGGCGGAGGCATGCCAGGAGAGGGGGAGTGGAGCGGCGGAGGTGAGGTAGGAGTAGAGTGGAGGCCCATGCCAAGACACACCCTGCTTTCCTTCAGGGTGCCCTGGGTTTCTTCGGTTTCGATGGCTTTGCGACGGAAAGCGTGACGTTCCCACACCACAGATCCATGGAGGTCCTGGTGTCTCAGGGTTGCATTTCTTGTGGAAGGTTTCTTGTGGACTGGCCTCCACTGTAGCCGATAATGAGGTGGATCATGTCAGGCGTGCTGAAGGTGGGCAGGAAGCAGGGGTAGAGGAAAGGGGGAGCAGCCTTCACACATGAAGTGATCATAACACGTCCTTTCTTCCCGCCCCCTTCCCCTGTAGGTGCTGAACACGAATGTGAACGTCATCGTTAACAGCCGCATCCTCTTCGAGTTCAGCCCCGCGGGTTCCGTCATCGGCAAGGCCTTCCCCCAAGCTCTGTTGTTTCTTTACCCCCTTCGGGCAACACAACAGTTCCCAACCATCCTGTGGTGTCATCCTGTAGTGTTTGGGCCTCGTTCTGAAGAGACAGCACCCCGCGTTCCTCCTCTTCCCCCTTCTCCTCCCCCTCCTCCCTCCTCCCACCCGCCTCGTCACCTCCCCGCGCTTCATCCACCCAGGACAGCGCTTCGTGGCCCCATAGGGAACTCCACCGAAGGATCCAGTGGCAGGGTCCGCATGCGTCGGAGGCGGACGAATACATCAAGGATCCGAAGGCGAACGAAGAACCGGAGGCGAACGGATGGATCCAGAGAAGCCCCGTCGTCTACATCACATGTTTGCACTATGCTGCGCGAGTTGGCAATGCCGTGATGACTGCTTTGCTGCTTCGGATGGGGGATCGTCAACAGCCGCATTGCTTTGGGGCCCGTTGATTCTGCAGACGAGTCTGATGGTGGCATTGACGACTTAGCATTTTCCACACGATTTAATGCTGGCCATGTGACTCCGCTATCCTTGGCTTTGGCCTTCGGCCACATGGACATCGTGAACATGTTGGGATATTGTGGTGGGGAAGCAGAGAGAGGTTACAGTTTTACGAGAGGCGTCGTGATGTATATCATATCAATGCCGAACACGTATTGCACGGCCCACCTTGATTTCTTGGTGGTGATGTACACGAAGGACACCGCAGTGAAGGGTATGGAGGCCTACCTGCCGAAGAATCACATTCACCTCCCTTCGGCGGCAGTCCGGCGTTTTCCTGATTTTCGTTGGCACCGCAAGTCCAACGGACGGCTGAGACAGCGGCGTCTGGAGCTGTGGGAGGACAGGAGCGATTCGCATTGGGACGAACTGTTCGACTACGATTGGAATTGAGTGGCAGCTTTGTTGGCGAGTTGCTTAGCAAGAGTTCCGTCTTGTGCAGCCCTGCATGCGTTCATATATCAGGCCCAGGTGTTGTGCGGTCACCTGCTTGAAGCCGCCGATTCCCTGGGACAATGGATTCCGGGCGTATTGTTGCGAAGTCGATAAGGATACCTTGAATAAGAGCAGGCATCTTAGGCACGCGTCCCCTGGCACCAGCCTGATGGACACATGCAGTCCATCGTGGACGGCAGAGTTCGGATGATCATGGATATCGACCATACGAATCATAGGTGTCGGCAAATTATGAAACACCCTGCTTGCCTCTACGGTGTCCTGGGTTTCGATGGTTTGCGATGGGAAGCGTGGCGTTCCCACGCCAGAAATCAATGGACGTCCTGGGGTCTCAGGGTTGGGTTTCTTGTGGAGGGTTTCTTGCGGATCGGCCCCCGCTGTGCTCGCGCTCTTGAGTCGGAGTTTGATCGACCTCCCACCCAGACACGTCGATTCGCGAATTAGCCGTTTTCGGTTCGCGAGAGACCCGTTTTGACTACGGTAGGTTTGCGTCGTGTCGACCAGCGGCGACCCCAGCGCAGGCGTTCAAGGTTGAACGCCGCCGGCGACCCAGAATCGATCGATGTTGAACGATTGGACGTTGCGGAGACGGCCGATCGTTCAAGGTTGAACGATCCCTGCGGTGTCAAAAACCAACGCTGGGGTCGGCACGACACGAACCCGCCGTAAAGGGTGGTTTGCTAAAGGGAGGCTGTGTCGACCCCGCCGCCGACTGAGGTGTACCTGGGGCTGCCTTGGAGCCGTTCACGTGCCCCTCAAGAGGTTCTCTGGTGCGATATTGGAGCCATCTTGAGGCCTCAGAAACCCATCGGACGCGAACAGGCTAGACGGCAAACGCTATTTGAAACCCTTGCGTCTTTGTGCGAGTTGGGGACTCTCGGGGGTGCCCCTGGGAGGCTCAGTGGCCACTCTGGGCCGTCTTGCAGCAATATTGGAGCTTCGTGGAGGCATGTTTGAGGATATCTTGAGCCATGTCGGACTCTATTGTGCCATCTTGGAGACCATCTTGGAATGTCTGGAGCCATCGCGAAAGCCCCCGACCCAGGGAAACAGGTCAGCCCCTCCAACTGCCCCTCGGCCACAGCACCAGCGCGTCACGCCCCAGTCTCATCCTCGACGGGGCAGGACAGGGCGAGACCGTCTACTCAATAGCCGCCAAGATGGCACGAGATGGTCCAAGATTGCATCCCGCAGGCTTCCAGGAGGCTTCCCGATCGCCGCCAAGGCGGCCCGAGGTGGCCGCGGAGGCCCAGGATGGCCCCGAGAGGCAAGACAGGTTAGTGGCGTTGTTTCTGGCTTGCTTTCTGGCTGGCGATCTGGTTTCCAGCTCTAGATATGGCCCCAAGAATGCCCGAGAGAAACAGCCGAGACAGAACCCAAACAGAGCCCCCCAAAGCACCCCTATACGAGTCCCAAGGAGTCCCAAGAGGCCCCCCCCCCAACCGTAAGGCAGCGACCCCACCGCGGGCATTCAAGTTTGAACGCCGCTGGTGCCCCAGAAGCTGCCAGTATGGAGTAGTTTGGTTCTCGAAAGGCCACTGGCCGTTCAAGGTTGAACACTCTACACGGCGTCTGAAGCCAACGCCAGGGCTGTCACGACACGAACCTGCCGTGGCCACCCCAGGAAGACATGCGTGGTGACGGGGCCCAGGATAAGTAGCCGTGGTTGGGCACGGAGGTGATGTTGCGTTGCTTTCTGCGCACTTCTCGACTATTCTACCACAAGCCCAGTGATAATTATAACAAGACGCACCGAGACGGGCTCGCCCAGGGCCTTGTTGCACCAGGATCGCCCGCAGCTATGCCGTCACACCCTCGCGCCTCGGATGGAGGTCTGCCGCGACGCCTACCGGGCGCGCCCCTCTTTCTCGAAGTTCCCATCCTTTTCGAGCGCGAGGGGTACAGGCCCCACTTCTACGTTCGGGGCTGCTGGCCGCCTGATAGCGACAGTGGCAAGGCGCCGGTGGCCGGGCACCACGTCGCGCCCCCTGGCCCTCGGCGGTGCCTCCTCATCGCCTCGGCGCACCCGGCTCGAAGCATCTGGGCCCCGCCTGGCCCTCCGTTCCCTGGCTTTCCGCGCCCTCGCGGCGTGCGCCTTGCCTCGCCCGCGCGTTCTTGCACCGGTGCCCTTGTTCACTGGCCTTATCGGGAGACTCTCCATGGGGGGATCCTATGGGACCCCCCCCCCTGGGATCCTATCCCCCCATGGGATCCCGCCCATGAAGAGTCTCCCTACCCTAGGGGTCGAGTGGCCCGAGTGCAGTCCTCCAGCTCTGCGTCGCTGCGCCTGGTCAAATGCGGCGCGCTTGCGTCCTGGGCGCGTGGGGCTCTGCGACCCTGCGTCATGGCAAAGCTAATCAGCGGCCAGCAACGAAGGATTGCAAAAAAAAGAAGGATTGCAAAACAAAAAAAACACGTTTTTTTGCAATCCCGGGTTTTTGTTTTGCAATCCTTTTTGCAATCCTTCGTTTTTTGTTGTTTTGCCATCCTATGTACACGTACGCGGTCAGTTTCCCCTGGAGTGCGTGTCCACGCGGACGTTCGTGCAGGCAAGACCGCGGAGGGCGTACATGTACATATGTCGTTGCTCGCCCAGCTAAGGTCATGGGCCCTTCCATTTGGAGGCCCCCTGATTCCCCGCCCCTGCCGCTGCCTCTTCTCGCCGGCGGGGTCGGGCGCGTTGGGGGCCTCGTTGCCGCGTTTCGCCCGTGCGTCCCGCGTCATGCCCCCCTGCTGCTCGCGCCGTTCCCCGCCGGCACTGCCGCTGCGCGCCCCCTCCTGCGCGCCCATCTGCTGCTGCTCCGCGGCGCCGCCGCCGCCGCCCGTTGCGCGGCGCGCGAAGGCGCGGGGGCAAACGACGGCCCCCGCGCGCGCGAGCGCGGCCGCCCCCCCCGCCCCGCCGCGGCCCTCCACCCCGCGCATGTCTCTGAAGCGCCCCGCCGCGCTTCTCTGCAGGCATCTTGCAGTTAAGACCGCCTCGCGCCCGGGCCTCGCGCCCGGGCCCGCGGGCGCGCTCGGGCCCCGCCCGAGGGTCGCCCGCCCTAGGCGCAGGCGGGGATGGCGCGCGCAGGCGCCGTCTCCGGCGGAGCGCGGGCCCCGCCCCCCCTCCCCCCCGCGTCGAGCACGCCCCCGTCGCCTTCGGTCGCGGCCCCCCGCAATTTCCGTCTGTGGGCGGTCTTGCCACGGACGCCCGCGCGCGCGAGGTGCCTCAGCGCCCTCGCGCTGCTGGCGAAGCCATCCTCGCTGCCGGGGGTCAGCGGCCAGCGCCCTGCCCCCCCATCCTTCCCCGCTGCCGCCGCCCCCTTCTCCTCCTACGCGGCTGGCGCGCGCCTGCGCGCCAGCTGGCTGCCGACCGCGGAGCGAAGAGACCATCCGCGCAATGGGTGCGCACACCGTTCTGGTTCGCGAGTTCATTTAAATTCGCCCCCCATTGCCTGCGCCTGGTCGGCGCCGGATGCGGCGGGGAAATACTCCCAGGCAGTTGCGAGTGGCCCATGCATTCTGGATCGTCATCTCTCCCGGCGGATAATCCACCGCGGGCCGCCCCGCGCGCGAGGTGAATTCCGGGCATCTTCTCATCGCGGTTGCAGTAAGAACGCACGTCGTTTTCCATCGCGAGTTGCGTCGAATTGCCATTCCTTTTGCCGCCGGCAGAAGTGCTGCCGGCGACTGGTCGGCGCCCAGCGAGTCGGGGGAATTATTGCGCATTGCTGATATGAACGGCGGGTTATATCTTAGATAGAAGTTGAGGACGCCTGTTAGTAACTAAGTTATAACTAAGTTCTAACTAAGTTATAACTAAGTTATAAATTGGCGCGTTTAATAGTGACTGACAGCGTCTGAGTTATAAGCCAACCTCTAATACCTTATTAGAGCTCGTTGAGTTACTAAAAAAACAGCGGACTTAGGAGGTTGAATTATAAGCCGGGTTATAACCAAGTTAGGTGACTTATACTCAATTCAATTCGCCCTGACTTCTTCGACTTAGTAATTGAGTTATAATTAAGTTATAAGTCGACTTAGCTAAGTCGACCTAACTCGACTTACTAAGTCGACCTAATAAGTCGAGTTAGCTAAGTCGAACGCTCGAGTTACTAAGTCGACGTAGTTCGACTTACTAAGTCGAACTGTTTCGACTTATAAGTCGACGATTTCAACTAATGTTGAACCGCTTAATATTTGTTGAATGAGTAAACACGGTTCTTAACATGTTTGCGGCACCTGGCCATCCACAACACCAACAAATATGTTGAGAACTTGTGATCCAGATTTTGCTCTGGTAACAAAAAAGTGTTTGTTCTGGATCCACCGACAACAACATAATTTTGAAATAATGGTGTTCTGTCTTTTTCTGGTAACATGTACATTAACAGTCAAGACCCTAGAACTCTCATCCAAATGCAAGGCGGCTCGGCTCGTAGCTTATATTTCTTATGTTCAAAAAGTATGGACGATGTGTGAAATACCAATATCTACATCGCAGGCGTACGTGGTAATCGTATCTAGCGCGCGTTACGCCCTCCACCTTGCGCCTGGTTGCGGGTGCGGTTGCGGTTGCGGTGGCGTCCTTCACCACGCACTTCGCCATCTGGCGGGCGACGGGCAGGGGGGGGGGGGGGGGGAGAGGGAGGAGGGGCAGGAGGAAAGACGGGGGGGAGTGGGGGAGGAAGAGGAGGGAGGAGGAGAAGGAAGGGGTACTCTGTGTATATATGTATTATATATATATATATATATATATATGTATTATGGGCATACCGTAAAATATGTATGTGTATTATATATGCATATGTTGGAGGGAAAATGAATGGATGCAGGGGAAGAGGACGGGGCGGTGCACGGGGGCGCGAAGATAATCGCCTCTCTCGGGTCGCGGCCTGGGCTGGAGAACCGCCCTTGTCCAAGGCGGCCCCGCGTCGGGGGGGGGGGAGGGGCTCCTC